TGAACATGATGTAATCTATGCAGAAATAGAAGTACAATGATGTACACCTGAAATTTTTACAATGTTATAAACCAATGTTACTGCAATAAACAAAAAATTTATTAAAAAAAAAAAAGAAAATTGATGACTTCTAATGCAGTTTCAATTTTGGGGAAGTGCTAGGAACTTGAGGCCATATTCCAGAGGGGTAAGTTAAGGTAAAGAAATGTGGAAGCCGACTCAGTATAGACCAGAGTTTCTCAAATTTTAATGACTCACCTGGGACCTTGTTAAAAATGCACGTTCTGAGCACCATGTCTGGGGTTCTGCATTTCTAACAGGCTCTCAGGTGATGCCATTGTTGTGGTCCTCAGATCATGCTCTGAATAGAAAGGGTATAGACTTCTGTGTAGAGAAATCTGGGAGAAGAGCCATTGGATAGTTCAAGACGCAACAGGATGAAGAAAAAGCATTGTTTTGTTTTTATTTCTGAACATGTTTATAGCCAGAGGGGAGCAAAGAGATGAAGAGATAGAAATTATAGATGTGAGATCCTAGTACTGCTGAACGAAGAGGAAAGAAGAAGTGGTGGAGACAATCCGTGAAAAGCATGGAAAAGGGGAAGAATCAAGACCACAGATCTAGAAATTCCTTTTGAAGAGGAAGGGGGATGGTAAGGGAAGGAGGGAGGAAAGAAACATGTTTATTAGGAGATTTTGGAGTTGATGAGGAGACTGGAGAGAACTCCCTTTACATGGCTTGAGTATGTCTGCACTGAAACAGGAGATAGCTCACTGCTGCCCAGAGAACACTGGAAGCAGTAGGGAGTGCTAGAACTGGGGCAAAGTGCTGCCACCTGTTTACCCTCCTCCTAACTATGGGGCATCAAAGATATCTGTCGCTTTGGTATTTGTTATTCAAATGAGGTTAATTTGAATATAGAACCATTGGCTGTTTTTTTTAAGATAGGTAATTTTTTGGTAAGATAGCTGTTTCATAAAAATTCTTTAAAAACTAACATGATATAACAAACCAAATTAATTTTGGAAACAAAAGAAATTATGGAGTTCATTCCTTAAATGTTAAAATTGTTATTTTTAGTAAATATTACACTGATTTTGAAATAGAAAAGATTTTTAATATCCAGTAATTATATGGCAATTAAATTTATTATTTTCCTTTTTGATAATCATATTTCAATACTGAAAGTTTATAATTATACATTATTTCTTAGATGTGTTTTATATACCTTCTTGCATGAGTGGATCAAGAAACTTTAAGATGGCTAAACTAGAGGATAAAAGATGTGTAGGCACACCAGTAGCCCACATGGGTATGGAAAAAAATGAGTATTTTTATTAACCATTATTCTACAAGTATATATCCAAGCTGATCAGTTCATAACACGTTCTCTGTTGAGAAATGAATTATGCATTCAACTGAACTATCATCACAACTGTGCACTTCCTAAATTACAGGACAAATTGAAGAACATGATAAATACTTGTAGTATAATGTTATAAATGATTCTGATGTATTGCATTAAAGATATGCTTTTGCATTCTACCATCAGCTTTCACATTGATCCTCTCAGTGTCATGATTTGTTCCTCTGATTAAAGATCACTTTTCTCTCCATCATTCAGCATGTTCACATTGGTATATGTGCACTTTTCTATTTTAGTTCTAGTCGTCTGAAACATAATCTTACTTTTGAAATGTTAACTGCATGTTTGATTAAACCTACATTCCTATTTTTTCTTCAGTATTTATAATGGATTCATATTCTGTCTTGTTGCTGTCCTAATTCCCCCCAAAAAAACAAAACACCAAAACCTAATGTAATCATTTCCAAAGCCAAGCATGAGGATTCAGCTCAATACTAACTCTGCATGGATGTATAGTGGGTTTTCATATTTACATATAATTTATTATATGTCCCTTTTGCTTTTTAGATTCTCCTGAAAAATATTCTCACTTGCAGGTAATAACTTTTATATTTTTACTTGAATTATTAACTACAGATTGTATGAAATGTACACTATTTATTCATCATTTTGTTTCAAACCCATTCAGCCTACCATTGAAGTGAAAGATTCTGTTCCTGATAAAGCAATAGGAGTGAAGGATGTGCAAACATCCAGATCAGGTAAATTTTGCACTGCAAATTTAACTCTGGAAAGAAGTACACTAACATATTTCAAATGCTCACTGTCTTCATATTCTTAAATTTTTTTTTTTTTCAAATTTAATTGAAAGATTTGACATAAATAATGCAATGTCACTGTTGGTATCCATGTTTGAAAAAAAGATATTTACAAGCATAAGAAAGAGATTTTTAAAATGTAAGCTTTAACTCAGATGTTGCTACTTTTATGTTTTGTTTTTTTGTTTTTTTTAAAACAATTTTTTTAATTGATGTCTTTATAGTTTATAATCTACTTTTATGTTTTGATACCCTAAAGATCCCAGTTTGGAATCTGTATACTTATTAGGGATTCCCAGAGGTTAATTATTAGACTCTTAAGATTTTTCCAGTATTTTAAAATGCTTATTTGAATTCTGGCCTTTACCTAGAGTAAAGCTTCCCTTGCTAACGTGTCAATTGTGTTTTAACTTTTAATTATTTCATCTTACTGTTGTTACACTGATGATCTTAAGCCAACCAGATGTTCTGGTTAGCAGGCTGTGTGTGTGTGTGTGTGCGCGTGCGTGTGTGTGTGGTGTCTTTGATTATTAAAAATGGAGAAAGTAATTAATCATACCTTAATGAATATTTGGTAAACATAATGTTTTAAAACAGTAATTCTAAAACTTTTTGGCCTTAGGATCCTGTTTTTGTCTTTTTTTTTTTTTCTGCTGGGAAAGATTAGCCCTAAACTAACATCTCTTGCCAATCTTCCTCTCTTTTTTTTTTTCCCTCCCCAAAGTCCCAGTACATAGTTGTATATTCTAGTTGTAAGTCCTTGTGGTTCTTCTCTGTGGGCCACCACCACAGCATGGCTACTGATAGACAAGTGGTGTGGTTCCACACCCAAGAACTGAACCCAGGCTGCCAAAGTGGAGCGTGCCAAACTTTAACCACTAGGCCATCAGGGCTGGTTCTTGGATCCTTTTATACTATTAAAAATTGTTGAGAATTCCAAAGAAGTTTTGTGTAAGTGAGTTGTGTCTGTTGATACTTACAATATTAGAAAGTGAAACTGAAAAATTTTAAATACAAGCATACACAATTATACCTTCCATTAACCATTAGAGAGATGATGGTATCACGTATTATGTCTGTGGAAAACTCTACTCTACACTTGTAAGAGAATGAGAGCAAAAATGGCAAATAACATTTGGTATTATTGTGAAAATAATTATGACCTCTTGGATACCCTGAACAGACGGATCTTGGGACTCCAGGGATTCTCAGATGACACTTGAGAACCACCATTTTAAACTGTATGCTATGTTCTACGATGTTGGCACGATGATGAAATTGACTAATGATGCATTTCTCAGAATGTGTCCCCGTTGTTTACTGATACATGACCATACAGGGTTCATGGATGTGAGATGGTAAACAGACCTTGTGATGAAAAGGGCTTTAGAGTTTCACTTCTACATTTGTTGCTTTTTTTGCACTTGTCTTAAAAAGTTTAATCTTACAATTTTAATTAAAAAAGGAAAATATTTTTATTGTATATTCATTTCCTGTCTGATGGCACTCTATACTCTTTGGATCTCGTGTGGACCTAGACTTACCCTATTTTTACATGGAAACAAGGAGGTCATTCAAGGCTATCATGTCTCATATAAATTTATGGTTTATATTTATCTAAAGCTTAACAAATGAATTCTGCATATATTGGTGCTTTTGGCAAAGACTATCTCATTGTAATTAAAGTAGTTTTTTATTTAACGTAGTACCATTCATTAAAGGTTGTTTTTAAACCCTTGTTTCTAGAACACACATAATACTGCCATGCATATTTAAACTTAAAATGATGGTTAGACATAAAATTTTGTTAATAACAAAAAAAATTCATACCCTGAAGAATCTTAATTATTAATAAGCAAAGCTCTTGTGGAAAACAGAATATGTAATAGAAATTACTGAGTGAATCAAAGAAAGTAATACTAGAAAATAAAAAAGTATGAAAATGAGAGACAATAGTTAATTAAGCTTATCTATGTGAATGGCAAGTATAGGACATGTAAAATAAAATATACCATGAAGGATTAGTGTGTTTGAGGGGAGAGGGAGGCATGGGACTGCTTCTCTGAAAAAAGAATTTGTACAAGTTAGTCAAATTTGTGCTGTTTACCTTCTAATGAATGCAAACTTTATTTTCAGATTGGGATTCTACTAGTTTGACCCTCAATAACAAGACTTGTCAAAGATCCGGGAATTTGAACGTTGATGATAAATGTCCATTTGTATCACAATCAATGACCAAAAATCAGGCAGCATCCACAGAATTTGGACAGATGACCTTAATAGATAAAGAAAAGATGAATATTGGAGCTGTGTTTCTAGTAGGGAATTATAAGCTCCATGACCTGTGTAAATCACAGCTACCAGAAAACAGAGAGAGCAAAAAAGGTAATAAAGAAGCATAGAGAGTTCAACCCTAGACCCTCTCTGCACGGCTTCACCATAGTTCTGACTTTTCAAAACTCATTTTGTTGCAAAATCTACTTTTAACGTTTACTCCATTTATGCAACCCACAACCAAACAAAATACCTTTTATTAAGACATTTGCATTTTTCCTGTAACCAAAGCAACATATAAATAACAAAGAGAATTAGGAGAAAGAGTAATTTTGTATAGACTAGTATTTGGCATACACTTGAGAGTGAGGAGCAGGATTATATTTAGAACTTTAGGTTTTCCCTAAAGATTGCCTTCTCAAACATAACATGGTTTCTTAGCTCTATTTTATAGCTCTGAATTCATAAGTACTATTTAGAACTGTATTCACTATAATTAAAAAAGCACCTCCCAAAACCAAATATTAAAATATTTCTTGTATTTCTATCCCTATATATATTTTAGAATTGGCTTTCCCAGCAGTAATGGGAATCATTGAGAATTTGCTACATAGTACCTGGTTCTCAGCTGTGTCCACACAGTCTTTCCCCTTGTTTATTATTTTTAATGAATAAATAGTTCACAAGGAATATTGGTTTTAAGGAGTGCTGTTTCATTTAGAAATAATATATGGAAAGTCAATTTTAATTCTACCGGGATACCCATTCTATTGACTAACTCCATCTAATACATCTTCCACTTTATGTACCAGTTAATTCAGTGCCCTTCATCAGTCACATGTTGAGGTCTGTAGTAATAAGTCAGACAATAATTTTTTCACCCCTATAGTGTTATCTTCTTTCCTTACCTCTGGAATTAACATTGTATTTACAAATGATTTTCAATGATCTCCTAGGATAGTGACTACAAACTATCCATCCAAGGTCATTTACGGTACAAGTGACTTGTTTGCTTGTATTTCTGCATGAGTGTGGTAGACCCAGAAGCAGGACTTTAAAACACCTACACAAGCTCCCTCAACGCAGGGAGATGTGAAACAGAAAAACTACAAAATAACTGCCAGCAACTTCAAACTGTTCATTTAGATCATTTTTCTTCTTAGTTGATGACTTTTACAAAGTAATGAGCAGAGTCTAGTTCTCCAGGGACCCAGGATCTGTGCATTTATTCATTAAATAAAGATTTATTTTATCCTAGGCCCTGGTAATTTTATAGCCTGAATACTTTCTGGAAATGTTCCCTCGGTTCAGGCCTGCATCATCTTTATTTTGCCTTATTGCCTTCTAATTCGTCTCCCTCCATTTATTCGTATGTCCCTCCAGTTCATCCCCCACCCCACAGCATTTAGAGTCATCTCTCTCAAATGCAGATATGACTGTGAACCACTCTAAAACATATTCATGTCCAGGCATCTTAAATTACACATAAGGCTTTCATGATCTGATTTCTGCCCAACTCTCCATCCTTAGCCCTTTCTCCTGTCTGTCCTTTGCTCGGGCATTACTGAACTGCTGGTGGTGCCTTCCTCACCAGTCCCTGTATTTGAGACAACAGTTACCCCACTGTATGCTTCTCTCCGTGTCTTGCTACAGCCCTGCCTGCTCTCCCCCTTTCCTGCCCTCTATCCTTTGAATCTGGCTAACCTCGCTGTTGAAGTCTCAGCTCAGGCATTATCTCTAGAAAAGCCACTCCTGGCACCTTTTATCTACATTCTTCTTTAAACCCCAGTGCCTAGTACTTAACAGGAACTCAATAAATAATTGTTGAGTCAAATAAATAAAGATCATTGATACAAAGGTGATTGAAGAGATTGCCCCTACAGTCTAGGAGCACAGAGGATAGATGTGTAAAGAAACAATCTACAGTTCGTGTAGTGAAGATACAGTTCGTGTAGTGAAGATACGCTAGAAAAATCTATAAAGTACTAAGGTAGCCCCAAGGAAGGAGACACCTGCTTATCTGGGGAAAGATTGACCTAATCAAGGAGGACTTCACACAGCAGAGTGAGTCTTTTTGTTTTTTTTGTGTGTGTGAGGAAGATCAGCACTGAGCTAACATCTGATGCCAATCCTCCTCTTTTTTTTGCTGAGGAAGATTGGCCCTGAGCTGACATCCGTGCCCATCTTCCTCTACTTTATATGGGATGCCACCAGGGCATGGCTCTACAAGCAGTGCGTCGGTGCGTGCCCGGGATCCGAACCGGCGAACCCCGGGCCGCCGCAGCGGAGCGCGCGCACTTAACCGCTTGCGCCACAAGGCTGGCCCCCGGAGTGAGTCTTAAAAGATGAAAAGACATTTATCAGAATAGTAGAGGAAAACGTTTCAGATATAAGGAAGGGTGTACACTGAGAAAGGCATAAAAGGTGAGAGTAATTTTGGAAACATGAATCATGTGGTTGAAGCTTAGCGTGTTGTTAAAAGGGTACTGTTTTGAGGTAGAGAATAGAGTATAGTGTGACTTGATATGTTTGTACTGTATTTCTAAATTTTGTTTCGGATTGTTTTGTTCATTGATGTTGGGTGGATGAATTTGTGAATGAATCTTGGAGATGTTTGTGTGCCTCAAAGCTGGTGATGTCTAGTATTTCCCAAATGGTTTGTTGAAGTTTTAGATAATTAGAAGTGTTTCTTACAGAAGTAAATATTCAGCTAAAGATTAAGCTTAATTTAAACTCCCTGTTGATAAAATGTTACTTTCTATTTTTATAATATTTATATATAGCTTTTATCTAACCATTCTAAGTAGTTCGTTTTAACTAAATATATAAATTTGTCAGCAGAAGTAAACTTAGAAATCGCATCAGAAGAAGAGCAAGAAACACTTGATGGAAGTGAAAATAACCACCCACAGGTGTGTAAAAATATAAATTTAAATTTCTGGTTTAATATTGTTTTCTATGCTTTAATAACATAGTCCAAAGGAATTACCTTTCAAACTAGCCTTTTAGAGTCAATAGATCATAATTTAATATTTAGTTTTTATAATATTTTAACTAGTTACAAAACTTAAAATATTGTAAGAATCTGTAGTAACTTATAGCTAAACTTCATCCTTGGAATTGAGGCAAAAAAATTTCCTGAATGTTGTTTGCTTCTTCCATTTGTATAACTTCCTTACATGATAAAGAAGGTAACATCAAATATTGAATCCTGTGAGTAAGCACTTGCAATTATGAACAATATGACAATGATGGCCACTGAACTGGATTCCTGTAAAAGGAGTTATCATTCCCAGTGGGTCCAAATTGGCACTTTCATATTGCTAGTCACTAATGCCAAGATGAAAAATTTATTCTGCCTTGTGTCTCTTATGTAATTGACTTCAGAGTCTACATTCAGGGAGAGAGTGGGGTCATAGATCCACCCTACTGCCTAGGAGGAGAATCACACCTTCCAGCATGGGAGCTTTGTTGTTAGGGTACAGATAATAACTTTCTAATTTATTTGATTTCAGTATAGAAAATCAGTAAATATTTAAAAAAAATTTTGTATCCACTCTCATTAGTGGATATTAGAATATATTAGAACTGGATGCAAGCAGATAATCTCTTTTGATGTATCCTGTCATATTATGTTATTGCAATTAAAATTTAGGAATTTGCTTTTCTTTCTGATTGATGTTAATTGCTTTGGCTTCTAATAATTTAAAGTTTACCTATTCCTGAGTTATTAATCTTTAAAATAACATCCTTAAATGCACTGTTGGGGCTTAGTATTTGAAGTATGGTGAGGTGAAATATTTTTAAGTGAGGAAGCCTTTGTAACATTACAAATCATTTCCTAATTCATTTTTGGTAGATTTAACATATAATGAATTGTTTAGTTTAAGCAGTGAGAAAATTAGGTTTTCAGGTTCATGTTTTTCTCTTACTTTAGGCTAAGACAAGTTATTTTCACTTCTTAGTTACAATCCAGTGATTTGGAAGTAAGCATAGATTAGTAAATTTAATAGTTAAATTTTAATTATTTTCTAATTTTTCTTTGTCCTTACTTGCTTACTTAAGGATAAGGTTATTTTACAAACATACCCTCCAACAGAAAAGACATCTGAAAATCAAAACAAGCAAATTAATCTTCCACTTTTGCATCTGCCAAAAATGCATCAAGAACCAGAAATGAATAAGGAATGTGATAGAGAGAATATATCTGTATATTCAGGACTTCCTTGTATGCAAAAGTATGAGGAAATGTGGATCAAACAAGGCAAATTAGAGTGGAAAAATAATTTAAAACTCGTCACAAATGAGTTATTGCAGAAGTTTGGTGAAATTTGTGAAAAATACAAAATTACTGCTTGTCCTGAGGAAGAGCCACTACATGATAATTCTAAAGACGGAGCAAACTTAAAGGAAATACCTTCTAATTTGACAAATTATACACTTGATTGTGAGGAAAAAGATGCATTTGGAGTGTCTATCTCTGTAGTATTCCAGGCATTTCCTGGACAAAAAGAACCCAGTCTCAAAAATGTCTTTCCATCTTATTCAGACGCTGGGTCTCCGGAATGTGCTTGCCAGTCATCTTCAAAGCTTTATTTAAATGAAAATAAATTAGACTATGAAAATGATAAATCAGACAGTGAACATGTTTTTAACAAAAATGAGGAGACTTGTTATAATGATCCAGAAAATAAAAAAGTAAGGAACCCAGTAGTTACATTTGAAGTGAAAGAAGACCACGAGTTTGATGTGCAAATGACAAAAAATGTCACCCAAAGTACCACTAATTGGAATTTAGACATCGGACATACACCTCAGTCTAGTGATCCACAAAGTCTTTTTGATTTGTGGCTTGCCCGCTCCAGTGGGATGAAACACATGATTCAAATAAAAAAGCACGAAATTTCTGCTCTTACAAATACTTATAAGAAAGCAAAACCAACCCAAGACTTGTTTCAGAAGCCATTATATGCAGATAATTGCAGTGCTAATAACTATAACAGCATGGAACCTGAATTAGAAAATGTGAGTTCTCTACCACATTGTGATAGAACATCCAGAGTATATCTAAACGAAGAGTTACTGCAAGATATGCAAAGGTTTAAGAATGAAATAGGCATGTTACAAGTAGAATTCCTGGCTTTGGAGAAAGAGAAAATTCAGCTTCAAAAAGAGGTAGAGGTTCACATGCTGCTACTCTGTGTCTTTTCTCTGTATCAGTTATCGGATCCATTCTGATTTTCCCTTATGAAAAAAGGCCGTGTATAAAATAGGGTTGTCTAAATATGTAATTGTGTCTAGAAATAAATTATTTCTGCCGTCTAAGTAATAGGTGTTCAGGAAAACATTCTCATAATTTTTATTTTTTAATCAGCTTAAACCTAAGTCTCTCTGTCAGTCTTCCTTATGAACTGGGAAACTAATTTAGCTAAGTACCATGTGACCTGCACCAGAATAAGCGTAAAGGAAACTGCTTAAAAAAATGTTATAAGCTCTAGGTTTTTTAAATTCTATTGGCTTAAAGATAATTGGGATATAAACAAAAATTCCCAGCTAAACTAATCTATCTATTATGTTAGTGTGTGCAATCTTATCTGCTTTACTCAAACCCTTGGAACTTAGAATTGCAAGTGACCACTTTGAGATATTTTTAATAATAAATATATATACTTCCACATTTTTTTTATCACCATTCTCAGATTTTTCAGTTGAGTCAAATCTTTATATTATGTTGTGTAATAAAGTATATTAAGTTTTGACGTGCTATTTTATCATATAGGGCCATAAACCCTCAGCAAAAAATTCAATATTTAACTCCAAAGGAGAAAACTTGAGTTTTGAGGTGCATTGAGGTTTTTTCCCCCCCAATAACAGATTTTTTACTTGTTTGCTTGCCTTTTGTGTAAGAAGTGCATTGAGTTTTAAAGATAGATAAAAATCTAGAGATATTCTCCTTTAAAGAAGTGGATGAGCTCTACCCCCAACTAAGGCATTTAATTACTGTACCAAGTCACACTTTTAATGTATGTGATTAATTTGATGAATTTACCTAGTAATTTATCTGATTCAGCATTATAGAATTATATCATCTCTTTTGGTGCCATAAAATGGTAGGTAATGCCACTTTAGGAGCTTTGGACAAATCGTTTATTCTTTCTTGGTTTTACTCCCGTTATTGGTAAAGAATGGGCTAGAGTAGACAATTACTTCTGTACCCTCCAGCTATAACATTTTATGGTTATTGAATGTGAAATTTGAGGAGCATTCCTCCTTTTCCAGAATTCTACACTAACAATTCATCAGTTTCACTCTGCTCCTTATGTGGTGGTGAGCTTTGGGTCATATATTTTAGTGAACACCATCACTTTTTGGATATCCCAGGATCTGAATAAAAAAAGAATTGTAAAAGGCGGTGGGGGAAAGACTAGCTCAGTGCAGAGGGAGGAAGGCTTCCTGCTCATTACTGAAGCGCCACAAGATCACATCCCCTAAATCTGGCAGTGTAATGCAAAATCCAGGTGGTAAGGACAGAAGGAGGCAAATTTTGTGTCTTCGTCTTCTCCTTTCTCTCTGTCTGCCAGTCAAATGGGGTGAAAATGGTAAGTAGCCAAGAGCGGATGTGAATAAGAGCACAAAATTAAGAAAGCCCTGTCTGTAATTTTGGAAAATTCTGTTTCATTTCCTCAAACAGAAATAAAGCAGAATTTACAAAAATGTCTATGACCTGTAATGATAAAATTAATGAAAACAAAAAAGTTCTCTTTAATAAATAAAGTAATAACCATTATCCTTAGTATCCAACTTTCATTAAAGGTTGAAGAAGAAAAGAAGAAGCACAAAAGTAGTGAAATGGAAGTAGCAGAAAACATAGATATTGCTGCTGCTGCTGCTGCTGAGGATAGATTTATTCAACAAACAAAGAGTGGACCAGCTGATAACCAGCACTTTCCTATTATGGAGAATGAAGATTCTGATAGGTAAGCCTACAGCAAGATTTCAAAGTAGGTAATAGTATTTTTCTATAAAGCAGATGCTAATTTGAGCTAATATTCATGATTAACATGCTTCATATTTTTACTAGGGATATTCACTCATACTTGGCAATCAGGAAAATGCGAATTAACAAAGAATGAGATATTTTTTGCAGTCATAATGATAAATATTTTATTAAAAAAATAACATCTAGGGTTGGCAAATGGGAGGGAAGAGGCATTCTTATACACCATTGGTAGATGAAATTAGTAAATCTTTTTTGAAGGGTAATTTAACAGCATGTTTTAGAATTTCAGTTTCCCTTCCAGGACCAGATCCTACAGGAAAACATGACTTGTATAAACACACACACAGACAAATACCCATACACATTCTAAATACGTTTATTATATATTGTTATATATATAAATATGACATATGTTAAGGGTATATAATAGCCATGAATATGTTAAGGATATTTATATAACTATGTTACATATATATGTTAAGGATATTTATTATACATTGTCATATCAAAAAGTTGGAGATGATCTAAATACCCATCAACAAGGAAATAAATTGTCATACCCATAAAATCATGCAGTATGGAACCATTTAAAAAAATGAGGTTGGACCAGCCCTGGTGGCCTAGTGGTTAAGTTTGGTGCGTTCCGCTTTGGCGGCCTGGGGTTGGTTCCCGGGTGCGGGCCTACACCACTCGTCTCTCAGTGGCCATACTGTGGCAGCAGCTCACATACAAAAAGAAGAAGATTGGCAGCGGATGTTAGCTCAGGGCGAATCTTCCTTAGCAAAAAAAATGAAAAATAAATTAAAAAGTGAGGTTAATCTACAGTATACCGATTGTTTCACAATTAAAGTATATTTGAGGCATTTGGTTTGACATCATATCTTAAGCAAATTTTGTTAGAATACTTGTAATATCTGCTGAGTAGCAAAAAGAAGGTATATGCTACACTGACCGTCCACCTAGTTACCAACAAAATTGCTAGTTATTTGATTTTTGTGATTTGTTCCTAATGTGTGAGTGCTCAAATATTGGACCCGCACATTAATCTGAATATTGCCAAGGGATTTCACATGGCAATTTGTTCCATAGCCTATATAGACATTTCAGTATATCATATATATATATAATATATATATATTCAGTATATATATATATAATATATATATTCAGTATATATATATATAATATATATATACAGCTTATTAAAATAAAATACATCAAGGGATCGGTCTGCTAAATCAGGGGTTGGCAGACCTTTTCTATAAAAGGCCAGAGAGTAAATATTTTAGGCTTTGAAAACCATAAGGTCTCTTTGGTTGAGTCTGAAATCTGTCCTAGACAATAGGTAAATGAATGGGTGTGGCTGTGTTCCAATAAAACTTTATTTATAAGAACAGGCAATGGGCTGGATTTGGCCTGCGGGCAGCAGTTTGCTGACCCCTGCGCTATAAATCAAGGTGCTGCTGACGCAGTGCGTCTTCTTTCTACAGGAACCCTGCCTGCATGCCACGATCCTTCCTTTCTAAAGAGACTGTACTGAAGTATGCACCGCACCAAATTTTTCAACAGTGACTTCATATTATCCAATTTACAAAACTTCAGTTTATAAACAAGAATATTTTTTGCATTTCCCTCCTTTATTTCTGCTACAGAATTTTAATATGACTAATTAGTTTGCATATTTGAATAGTATAAAATATTCTAGAGTTAGATAATTTTCATCAAGCAAGAAATACTGCCTTGAAACTTTTAGTCTTTCTGTTGTCTTTATAAGCATGAGAAAGATGATAATCAGGGTATATAATATTATTATATATCTAAAAAATTTTCAAGGGGTCTTTTAGTTGTAGAATTTTGTGAATTTGTTATTTAATGCCTTGGTCTCGCGTTTTTTAAACCATTTAGTGAGACACGTACGCAATTTTTAAAAAACAGTAAAGTATTACAAAAATACTACATATCATAATGTAAAGATTGAAAACTCCAGCTAAACAAGAAGAAACACAGTCATGCCACTTAGCTAAGAAGTCCTTAAAAGAACTGTCTGTACTCCCTGACTCTCATTTCACTTCCATTGACTCTTGAGCTCATTCTAGTAATTTTCACTCCCACCTCTCCTCCAAAATTGTTTTTTTAAGGTTACCACTGATTTTCACTTTAATAATCTAGACGTAATTTCTTAGACCTCATTTGACTTAACCTGTCAGCAATATTTAATGGAAATGGAAACTCTCCTGCAAGATACTTTCTTCATTTGGCCTTCAGGATATCACTCACTCACCTGGTTTCCCCCTTGCCTTTCTAATCCATCTATCTCAGCCTGTTTTGCTTGTATCTCCTCATCCCCACCTTTGACACCTTGAAGTGTCCCAGGATTCAGTCCTTGGTCTTCTTTCTCATGATTTTTACTACCTTGTATATGCTAATGATCCCCCAATTTGTACCTCCAGCCCAGATGTCTCTCCTTAATTCCTGTCCTATATGTCAAACTGCCTACTTGGTATCTCACTCTGGAGAGCTATTGGGTATTGCAATCTTAACATGTCCAAAATTGAGCTCCTGATATTCTTTCTCATACCTGCGCCTCATGTAGTCTTTCCTATTTGAGTTAATGACAGCTCTTCCAGTTGCTCTGCCAAAAAGCTTGGTGTCATCTTTGACTCCTGTCTTTCTCTTTCTCTTACACCTCACATCTAATGTGTCAGCAAATCTTGTCAGGTCTGCCTTCAAAATATATTCAGAAGGCGATCACACCTTCCATGCCCAGACCACTATCATCTGCTGTCTAGTGTAATAGTCAGCTAATTGGTCTTTTCTTTCTTTCTTTTTATTTAACTCTCTCCCTCAATTCTAAACACAGTGGACCTATTAAAACATAAGTCAGATTATATTATCATTATGGATAACTTTGCAAGATGAGTATTCTTGGTTGGCAGTTTTTTCCCTTCAGCACGTTGAATATGTCATCTTCTTCTCTCCTGGCCTGCAAGGTCTCTGCTGAGAAATCCACTGAGAGACTTATAGGAGTTCCCTTCTAAGTTACAAGCCTCTTTTCTCTTGCTGCTTTTCAGATTCTCTCTTTGTCTTTGATTTTTGACAGTTTTATTATAATGTCTTAGAGAGGATCTCTTTCCATTGAGTTTGTTTAGTGACCTATGAGCTTCTGTAACTTGGATATCCAAGTCTTTCCACAGGTTTGGGAAATTCTCAGCCATTATTTCTCTAAATAAGCCTCCTGCCTCCTTCTCCCTCTTTTCTACTTCTGGAACTGCAATAATTTGCAAATTGTTTCTTTTCCTAGTATCCAGGAATTCAAGTATGCTTTCATCACTCTTTTTCATTCTTTTTCTTTGTTCTCCTCTGACTGGATAATTTAAAAGTTCCTGTCTTTTAACTCATAGATTCTTTCTTCTGCTTGATCCATTCTGCTGTCAGTGCTCTCTGTTGCATTTTTCATTTTATTCATTGTATTCTTTAGCTCCAGAATTTCTGTTTAGTTCTTTTTTATTATTTCTGTCTCTTTATAAACTTCTCATTTTGTTTGTGTAGTTTTCCTGCTTTTGTGGAATTGTCTTTCTGTGTTTTCTTATAGCTCATTGAGTTTCCTTAAAATTGCCATTTTGAATTCTTTATCAGGTAGATTACAGATCTGCATGTCTTTGGGATTGGTTACTGGAAGAGTATTGTGATCCTTTGATGGTGTCATGTTTCCTTGATGTTTCATGTTTCTTGATGTTTTGCATTGCTGTCTTTGCATTTGAAGTAGCAGTCACCTCTTACAGTCTTTAATAACTGCCCTCTCCACTACATCCAGACTTGTATTTTTTTTTGCTCCAGTGGTGTGCTGGATGGAACTTCTCTCCTGAAAACCTGGATTTCCACAAAGGCTCTCTAATCTGGGTAATTATCTAAGATAGTGTTTTCCAGGGGCTCCTGGATGCTGCTGAGAGTGGCTGGAGCCAGTTCATGGGCCATGCAGGGTCCAGAGCTAGGACTGTGGTCTGTATGCTTGTTATTAAACACACTGGTGGGTGAGACTCCTCCCAGGTCTCTTGGCGTATGGTGCTGGATCCCAGAGCCCCCATAAAGGCACTTTTGCCCGTGGTTGGATGCCAAATTGTTGGTGGGGGGGACACAATGAGATGTGTCTTATTCAGATGTAATGTTGATGTCACTCCAACATATGAGTATTTTAAAAGTAAAATTTTTCCCCCCAAGATATTTCCCTGATTTCTTCTTTCATGTTATATGTACCTCATGCTATTTTAAAAATCATTTAAATTAAGTATTGTTATATTTAAAAACAACACTAAAACTATAGCAGAAATCCAGTGATTTACTCCCATGCCTAAGAGTCATTGCTTTTAGGCGGTGAACTCCAGCTTTTTAGTGTAACATTCAGGGTTCTTCAGAATTTCTTTTCTGACTCATCTCTCACTACTTGCTTCCGTGTGTATTTTATACTTTTCCTTTCAAGTTCTTAGGAAACACCTAGATGCCATGTTCCTAATCTTTGTGCTCACATTCTAATCTCTGAGTAGAATGGTTTTCTCCCATTTCTTTTCCTGGTCATCTCTGTTTTACCTCTTTTGTAGAGCCTTTCTTGCTCACTTATAACTTTTCATATGTCAACTCTTACACATGTTATTGTATCATAATTGTATATCCAACTTTGAAGCAGGAATGTCTGTTTCCTTCCCTGTGTTGGTACTTCATGACTGTTTTGTGAATTAATAAATGAAGATGATAAGAATTGGAATTTTATGAAAATTGTTTTTTTTATTCTTTATCAGTAGAATTATTAGAAAACATTGGCTTTGTTATGGATTTTTTAAAGTAGTGGTCCTGGCTTGCATATGAAGGAAGTAAAGAAAAATGAAGATGAGAAACGGACATCAAAAGAGTCTGTGATTACCCCGGTGTTTGAAAAGGCCAGTTCACTAACTGGTGGTCTGCTACAAGTGAATGATGACAGCAGTTTAAGTGAAACAGATCAGGATGATGGAAGGTAAAATCTATAAACTCTTTATTTCTAGGTAAAGGAATATTAGCAGTGATTACTTTTTCTGGAAATAGAACAGCTTAATGTAGTGTACAGGCCAAGGCAAGAGAATTCTCAACTATATCAGAGAAACACTGCTGAAAGGTTAAGATGAGGACAAGTGACTTTGACAAGGAGCAGTTCCAATAAATAGTTGCCATCGAAGTTGGACTGCAGTGAATACGTGTAAAAAGCTCCTTAGAGAATATTTACTGGGAAACAATAGAGACATGGGTGAGAACTGAAGAAGAATGTGGAGTTCAAGGGAGTTTTCATTCTTTATGTGAAGATGGGAGCTTTTAGGGTATGTTTGTACACTGTTGGAAATGATCCAGTTGAGAAGGACATATTTATTAACTTAATGTTGTTTGCATTTCCAATATTAGAAAGCTTGTTGATTGTATTACATTATCTTTGAAAGATGATAGTAAAGTAATTGTCCATGGTACTTCTATTCATGTATAGCTTTATGGTAAGAGCTTGTTCATTCAGAATTGGTTCCAAAGTGGAATATTCCCATATACAGGCATACCCCATTTTATTAGGTTTTGCTTTATTGTGCTTCACAGATATTTCATTTTTCACAAGACCCTCCACCAGCAAAAAGATTGATTCCCTGAAGGCTCAGATGATAGTTAGCATTTTTTAGCAATAAATTATTTTTAATTAAGGTATATACATTGTTTTTTTTAGATTAATGCTATTGCACACTTAATAGACTATAGTATAGTGTAAACATAGCTTTTATATGCACTGGGAAACCAAAAAATTTGTGTGACTTGCTTTATTGTGATATTCACTTTATTGCGGTAGTCTGGAATGGAACCTGCAATATCTTCAAGGTATGCCTGTAATTGAATATGCAAATGATTACTTAAGTTATATTGTTATACATAGATTTTTAAAAATTATATAATCATAAATAATACAAACACTTAGGGCACACTGAATAGAATTTAATCATTCCTTGATGATTCTAAGATTATAGTAACTTTGACAGTATCATCACGAATAGCTATGGTTTTATAAGGTACTCTAAAGTATCAGGTTATAGTAACTTAATAGTTGTTTAGATTCTGGGGAAAAGAGGAAAATTTCGTTTGTGTACAATAGAAAAATAAACTGTTAATCTATCACAGATGATTACTTTTAGATTATATAGTTCTAAATTACAAAAGCCATGCTTCCTGTACCAACAGTGTCATGGACATGTATTGTGTGCTCAGGAAGTATATGTTGAATGCATGAATAAACAGTTGAAAGGAAGAATGAATGCCTGTTGATGAAATTCTTTAGAAAAAGCAAATCTTTAGTTTATTGTAAGTAGGTTTCCAGTATTGCCTAGGTATAAAGTCTTTTGTTTAAAAGAAATGTGTGTAAGATTCAGAAATTGATTTATAATTATAGCTAAAAATAGAATAATAATATAGCTTCATTTGCTATTATATACTTAGAAACACTTAAAAATAAATATTACTTTCCAAGCATGTTGTGAAACACGTTTTGAAGCCAGATTTCCTGGGTTTGAATTCTGGGTCTGCTACTGACCAGCTGTATGGGGCTTGGGCAAGTTACCTAGCCTTTCTGTGCCTCATTTTCTTCCTTTGTAAAATACCTAATATATTACCTACCTCATAGAATTGTTGTGAGGATTAAAGTGCCTTTAAGACACATAAAGTGCTTATAATACTAATGTATAGTAGTTGCAAAGTCCTCAAAAAGCTAATATCATGATTAGCTTTTTGAAAAAGAGTTTCCTTCAGGTAAGGACTTTAAGTAATTCTTTCCCCATAGCTTTTAGTGCCAGTAAAAGCTTGTTTTTATTGAAAATGACAACAAAAAACCCTGGTATATTTCTTCCTATCAAATAATACAAGTAATATTACGTTTTGCCTCTTGCTTTGACTGTCAGATTGATCTAAATTTAATACTTTGTTTATATTATTAGTAGTATATTTTCTTTGTCCCTCCCTTAATGTTACTCTTTCTATTTATTGTTTAATCCCACTTATAGAAAATTAGTTACAATAGGTTTAGATACTCTTTGTATTTTAAGTATTTAATATTTGCCTGAAAAGACTTGTTTGTTTTCTTAGGCCTGCAAAGAAAACATCTAATGAAAAGAACAAGGTATTGTAAAAAATAAATTATCAAAAGTATTATTCTGTAGTAAAAAAAGTACATTATAAAAGGTATAGTGAAAAAAACAGAAAATCTTCCTTTGTTGTAGAGACATTTACTTTGAAAAAGTACTTTAGAAACACATTATTATTGTTAAAGGCATCCTTTTGATAAAAATTAGTTCTTTTAAGAAGTACCTGTGTTGTTGCTTTTATAAAAAGATGGATGTTTATCACCTCTGTACACTTAGTATACCTTATAAATATTTCGGGGATATTTCGAAATAGTATTATTTATTTGTAGGTCAAAAGGCAAATTATTTCTATGGATGACCTTGCTGATTTAACTCAGTCGTCTGAATCAGCTTCAGAGGATTGCGAGTTGCCATGCTCCAATTATATGAATTCCATGTTGCTAATTGAACGACTTGGCATGGATTGTAAAGGTAGGACCACTGTATGAATATAAAGCCTTTTTATGTCCAGTAGTCCCCCCTTATTTGTGGGGAATATGTTCCAAGACCCCCAGTGGATGCCCAGTGGATAGTACCGAACCCTATATATACTGTGTTTTTTCCTATACATACATACCTGTGATAAAGTTTACCTTATAAATTAAGCACAGTAAGAGATGAACAACAATAGCTAATAATAAAATAGAACAATTATAACAATATACTGTAATAAAAGTTATGTGAATGTGGTCTCTCTCTCTCTCAAAATATCTTGTTGTGCTGTACTCACCCTTCTGATGATGATGATGATGTGAGATGATACAGTGCCCACATGATGAAATGAAGTGAGGGGAATGACCTAGTGTTATTTTCGGACCATGGGTGACCAAAACCTTGGAAAGTGAAACCGCGGATGAGGGGGAGTACTGTATACTGTAGGAAGATGTGCACAGCTTGTCTCGTACTGCACCATGAGCACTGACACGTTACAGAGCTCTTCATCTCAGAAACACGTTTTATATTGAAATAAAACGAGAGCTATTGTGTCCTCTCTGCCAGAGAGCTAGGATAATTGCCACTGAGCTTGTCTCAGATTGAACGGCACACCTAGTGCGTTTGCTGTCTCTGCTTCTCTCCTACGCCTTCACCCGAGGTCAGATTACCATTATTTCCCTCCTAGAACACTGAAATAACCTCGGAACAGTTTTCCCTGCCATTCCATGTTCTGGAACCCTGGTCTATACTGCAGCCATAATTATTGTATATTTTAAAAATTCAGATCTCATCATGTGACCCCCTTGCTTAAAACCCAGCTATTACTTCTCATTGCTATGAGGTTTAAGGCCACAGTCCTCTATAGCTTCATCTTTTATCATTTCACATCCTCGTTTCCATGTGTGTCTCAACCACTGTCTTAGATGTTTTTGCCTGCAGTAGAACTTTTTGTTTTCAACTGTTTTAGTTAGGTAAACAGCACGTGTATAAAGTATATAATTTGATAGTTTAGACAGTTATACACGTATAAATCCATCACCATAATTCAGGTAGTTAACACAGCCATCGCCCCTAGAAGTCTCCTCATGCCCCTTTATGTTCCCTTATTAAAAACTGCCAGATTGTTTTCTAAGTCATTGTACCATTTTCTGTTCCCATCAGCAGTGTATGCGAGTTTCAATTCCTCCATATCTTCACAAACACTTAGTATTGTCTGCTTTTTAAATCTTAGCCATTGTGATGAGTGTGTGTAGTGTATATATCATTATGGTTTTAATATGCATTTCCCTAATAATGTTGAGCATCTTTTCATGTGCTTATTTGCCATCTGTATATCCTCTTTGAACTAATTCTTTTGCCATTTTAAAAATTAGGTTGTTTTTCTTCTTATTTGTTGAGTTTTGAGAATTCTTTATGTATTCTGGATACAATTCCTTTTTTAGGCTTTTTTTTTTTTGGTGAGGAAGATTAGCCCTGAGCTAGCAATCTGTTGCCAGTCTTCCTCTTTTTGCTGAGGAAGATTGGCCCTGGGCTAACATCCATGCCCATCTTCTTCTACTTTGTATGTGGGACACCTGCCACAGCATGGCTTGATAAGTGGTGCATAGGTCTGCACCCAGGATCCAAACCTGTGAACCCCGTGCCACTGAAGTGGAGCGTGCAAACTTAACCACTATGCTGCCTGGTCGGCCCCTTCAGCTATATTTTGTGCAAACGATTTTTTCCCAGTCTGTGGCTTGTATTTTCATTCTCTTAACAGTGTTTTTTGAAGAGCAAGAAGTTTTCCTTTTTGATAAAGTTTAATTTATCCATTTGTTCTATGGATTTTGCTTTTGGTGTTCCTATCTAAGAAATCTTTGCCTAGCACAAGGTCACAAAGATTTTCTTCTGTGCTTTCTTTTTCAGTTTGTTAATATGGTGAGTAACATTAATTGATTTTTGAATGTTAAACTAGCCCTGCATTCCTGGGATAAACCCCATTTGGTCATGAAAAATTATCCTTTTAATGTATTATTGGATTTGATTTGCTAATGTTTTGTTTAGAATTTTTACCTCCATTCTCATGACATAGCTTTCTTTCTTTTAATATCTTTGTCCGGTTTTGATTTCAGGATAATGCTAGCCTTATAAAATGAGTTGAGGCATATTTCTCATCTTCATTTTTTGGGGAGAGTTTGAATAGAGTTGGTATTATTTCTTTCTAAAGTGTTTGATTGAATTCACCAGTGGAGCCAATTGGGACTGGAATTTTCTTTGTGGAAGGTCTTTAACGAGGAATTTAGTTTCTTTTATAGATATAGGGCTATTAAGCTTCTCTGTTCTTTCTTGATTGACCTTTGGTAATTTCTGTCTTTCAAGGAATTTACCCGCTTTATCTGAGCTGTCAAATTTATTTACAGAAAGTTCCTAATATAACTTTGTTATTCTTTTACTATCTGTAGAATCTGTAGTAATGTCACATTACTCGTTTCTGATATTGGTAATTTTTGCCTTCTCTCTTTTTTTCCTTATCAGCCTGGCTCGAGGTTTATCACTTTTATTGATCTCCTGAAAGCATTTGGTTTCATTAATTTTTCTGTATTGTTTCTTTGTTTTCTGTCTCATTGACTTTATCTTTGATGTTTGTTATTTCCTTTTTCTGCTTGCTTTGGTTTAATTTACTCTTCTTTTTCTAGTTTCTTAAGGTGAAAACCAAGGTCATTGATATGAGACCTTTCTTCGTTTCTAATACAGACATTCAGTGCTATAAATTTGCACGTCAATACTACTGTGGCAGCATTCCACAAATTCTAATATGTTATATTTTTCATTTTCATTCAGTTCAAAATATTTTCTAATTTCTTTTTTTATGGCCTTTTTGACCCAAGAGTTATTTAGATGTGTTGAATTTTTTAAATATTTGAGTATTTCCCAGAGATATTTTTGTTCTTGATTTCCAATTTGGTTACTTTGTGGTCAGAGCACATACTTTGTATGACTTAAGTCTTTTGTTCCTTTTATTAAGATTTATTTTATGACCCAGAATATAGTCTTTTTGGTAAGTGTTCCATAGGTACTTGAGAAGAATGGTGGTGTTCAAGTCTACTATATCCTTGATGATTTTCTGCCTACTTGCTCTGTCACTTATTGAGTGAGGGGTACTGAAATATCAGACTATAATTGTGAATTTGTCTATTTCTCTTTGCAGTTCTATCAATTTTTGCTTCTTGTATTTTGAAGGTGTAATTAGATGCATAACCATTTAGGATTATTATGCTGCTTATTAATGGACCCTTTTATCATTATGAAATGACCTTATTTGTTGCTAGTGATATTTTTTGCTCTGAAGTTTCCTTTGTTTGGTATTAATGTCGCCACTTCAGCTCAATCTTCTTTCATCAAGTGTTGGTATGGTGTATCTTATTTCCATCCTTTTAACAAATTTGTGTCTTTACATTGAAAGTGCAGTTCTTATAGGTGGTATATAGTTGGTCTTGGCTTTTTTATCTAGTTTGACAGTCTGCCTTTTAATTGAGGTTTTTAGATCATTTTCATTTAATATGATTATTGATATGGTAGGTTTGAATCTGTCATCATGCTGTTTGATTCCTATTTGCCTCATCTGCTCTTTGTTCCTCTTTTCTTTTTGCCTTCTTTTAGATTAATAAGTAATTTTTAGTTTTATTTCTTTTTTTTGGCGTATTAGCTGTAACTCATCTGTTGTGCTATTTTAGTAGTTGCTTTAGTGTTTATAGTATATGAGTTTAAATTATCACAGTCCACCTTCAAGTAATATTATATCACATCATATATAGTGTAAGACAATTACAATAGTTTATTTCTATTTCTTCTCTCCTAGCCAGATCCTTCCTGGATCTGTGGGATTATAGTTTTCATTAAGTTTAGAAAGTTTTTGGCCAATTTTTCTTCAAATGTTTTTTCTGTCCCTTTCCATTGTCTCTTTGGGGAATTATATATTAGCCATGTGAAGTTTTCTCACAGTTCACCAATATCAAACTTACTAATCTTTTATTTTGTGGTAACTTATATTGTTCCCATCCAGTGTATTTTTCATCTCTGACATTATAATTTGCATCTCTGTAAGTGCAGTTTGGTTTTTTAAAAATAGCTCCATGCCTCTATGTATCTCTTTGAGCTTTGTTTGAGGATACAGTTAAGTTACTTATAAAAAGTTTGATCCTTTCTGGTCTTGCTCTTATGATTTGTTAGGTGCATCCAGAGCAGTGCTCAGCCTACGGCTAATTATTCCCTACTACCATGGCACGACCTTCCTGACTATTCTATTCATTATCCTGTGAATTGTGAGTCTTTCCAGCCTGGCTAATGGGAATAGACACCATTCCTGGTGCCGTGTGAGCACCGGGCACTGTTTCCTCTGCTCTTTTCAGATGGTCTTTCCCCCTGGTCCCTGGTGGTTTCTTCACCTGTGTACACTGTGTACTACTCTGCTGAACACCCAGGGGGCCCTCTGCAGATCTCCAGGGTTCTTTCTCTGTTCTGTTCTCTACTGCCCAGTGTTCTGACCTGTGATCTCTATTGGCCTTGGTCTCACCAGACTCTGAGCTTCGTCACCTCAGCTCAGGGAGTCTGGTGGGCCCCACCTCAGTCCCTTCTCCCTGTGTTGTGGCCTGGCCATTCTCTCAAGGCAGTGAGCTGGGCGTTTGTTAGGCTAACTTCATTTGTTTTCAGGGATCATTGTCCTTCATTGCCTGAATTCTTTGTCTTCAAAATCACTTTTTAATGTATTTTGTCTGTTTTGTTTTTGCTTGTTTCAGGTAGGAAGGTAAATCAACCTGTGACTCCATCTTGGCTAGAAGCAGGTTGCAGTAGAACCAAGGCACATGCTGTAGGCTGTCTAGAATGCTCTTCTTCCTCCTGTGCTGAATTGCTTCCTGCTCATCCTTCATTTCTCAGTGTAGCCATCTCTTCCTCAGGGAAGTCTTCTCTGGGCCCATTCTAGGTCAAGTTCTGTTATATGATCATTAAACTCTGTTTTCTTATAGTATCTATCTGAATTTATAATTAATGTTTTATTTGTCTTTCTCCTCCACTAGACTTTAAGCTAAACAAGAGCCAGAGGTCTTGTCTGTTTTATCTGCAGAGCTTAGTATAATGTCTTCCAGGTTGTCAGTACTCAATATACATTTGTTCAATGTATGAATGAGGGAATGTGAAAATGCACGGTCCTTTATACACAAAAAAATACTCATATATTTTATTTCTATTTTTGTTTCCTCTCTGATGCAGATTCTGTTAGCCTATTGAAAATCCAGAATGCAGTTCTTTCATATGAAAGATTAATAGAACTTAAAAAAAATCACTGTGAATTACTTACAGGAAAAATTAAAAAAATGGAAAATAAGATTAGTGGACTACAAAAGGAGCTTTCAGAAACAAAAGAAATAAAATCGCAGTTAGAGCATCAAAAAGTGGAATGGGAACGAGAAGTCTGCAGTTTGAGGTATTGAACACCTTGGTTTTAAACAAATATTTGAACTATTTACTTTTATACCACGATAAATGTAGGAGAAGTTTTATAATTGCTAACTTACCTTCTGGGATTTTACAGGGGAGAAAACTTCTTTAGTATTGTGGAGTATGAGATTCTTAGAAGTGATACAGGAAGTTCTTAACAGTGAATACTTCTAATAATTTAATGCGTATTCTTCCAAATCATCATTTTAATGATCATATAGAAGTCCACCATATGGAAACCTCATTATTTATTTCACAAATTTAATTTCAGTTGTTTTTCATTTTTACTTATAATTAATGCTGCAAGGAACATCTTTTATATAAATCTATTTCTACATTTCTGATTATTTACTTTTAGTAAATTCTTCAATAGAGTATTATTTGGTTGAAGCATAAGAACTTTTAAGAAAGGTCTTTGATCCCTATTTCTAAATTGTTCTCAAGAAAACTTATATTAATTTACATTCCCACCAGAGTGTGAAATGACCATTTTCCTCAAGACCAAAGAGTTACGAAATGTATGCAGTTTTAGTCTTCACATATGCATGGAATAAAAAAGTAAGATGGAAAGTGATTACTGATTAGTTTATTCAAAATCTCTCGTACAGAGATAAAATTAATTCAGAGGTCTATGCTGAAAGCACATATTACTCTTTATTATTTACTTAATTAATATGGATCCTGTCTTGTTCCAAAAGGGATTTTAAAATGGTTTATAGGGCCGGCCCTGTGGCTTGGTGGTTAAGTGCGCGCGCTGCGATGCTGGTGGCCCGGGTTCGGATCCCGGGTGCGCATCGAGGCACCACTTCTCCGTTCATCCTGAGGCCGAGTCCCACATACAGCAACTAGAAGGATGTGCAGCTACGACATACAACTACCCACTGGGGCTTTGGGGGGAAAAAATAAAATAAATAAAATCTTTAAAAAAAAAATAATAAAATAAATAAATAAAATGGTTTATAAAGTAGATAATAATCAACAAGTTGAAAGCGTTGCAAAAGAAGAACCAGAAAGTGCAGGGCCCCAGATGGCAGCCTCCCTGGCCTTGTCTCGGCTGATGGGAGCCTGCAGATGTGTGTTGTGTGAAGATGTCTGCAGACTCCTCTGACTCTGTAACCATGTGTAGAGGAAACTGTAGTGTGTGTGAGGCTGGGATTTTCTTTCTAGTGAATTTATGAACTTATTTATAAATAACAAGTTCTCTTTTTAATTAGTAACTAAATAATCTGTCCTAATAGAGTGCTAATTATGCCTATGTGGAAAAGTAATTTTCAACTCTATCTTTACTGAATAATTTCAAAATTCCTTTCCTACAATATTTACCAGAGTGACTATTGACTAAACTAAGCAGCAGAAGGTTTTTTCATTGCCACCTTTCAATATATATATCTTTTGGAAGAGATTAAAGTAAGAAATTAAAAACATGAGACCTAGAAAGGAAAAAATTCGAGAACATAGATATTTCATTAGGATAATAAGCCAGCATATGTAGAACCAGATCATAAAATGAACTTTTTATTTTCTAACAAAATGAATTTTAAGATAAGCATATTTACTGCAGATTTACCTTAAAACAAGAAGAAGAGAAGAGAAGAACTGCTGATAAGTTATATGAAAAAGTTAGGGAGCAGTTAAGGAGAAAAGAAGAGCAATATAGTAAAGAAGTTGAAATGAAACAACAACTTGAACTCACTCTTAGAACACTAGACATGGAATTGAGGACTGTAAGAAATAATTTGAATCAAGTAAGTTAATCTTTGGTAAAAAATGCGTATTTCTAACATTATTTCCTTAATATTATTTGTATATATACAATATAATAATAATGTATATTATTTAGGTTTAAAACAAACCAAAAATATTATCTCATCCTAAATATGGACTATGACATTTATAGCTAAAATTATTTATTGCAATTCTTGGCATCTAATAGACGTTCTTGTGTATATTTTCTGAATGAGGAAATGGAGGGTAAATTGAGCTTAATCATTAACATAAATGTTAATTTTTGCTTTTTTATGTTAAAACACAGGCTAAATTGCCTTAAGACTGTGATGGAACTAGTTAAATGTTTTGTAAAGAAATTTTATTTCACAATACTATATCTACCTGTAATTTTGGTCTATGACAAATTTGCTGTCATTTGAGTTATTCATGTGGGATAAAGATCCTTGCTTATTAACAAGGCTGCTTGCTTTTAACAGTTTTCTCTTTCACTTTCTGCTCTTAAGCTTTTGACTTTTTTTTTAATAATATGAGACCAGAAACCTAATGAAATGTGTCTCTAGGTTGTAGAAGAGCGAAATGACACTCAGAGGCAACTCTCTCGAGAACAGAATGCCAGAATGTTACAGGATGGAATTCTGACCAATCACCTTTGCAAACAAAAGGAGATAGAAATGGCTCATAAGAAATTGAATACTGAGGTATTTTTTTTAGTCATTTTCAAGTATGTGTGTGTATCTATTTTAAAAAACCAAAGCTATACATCATGGAAAATATAGAGGATTTTTAAAGCGTATATACAGTCATGTGTCGCTTAACAATGGGAGTATGTTCTGAGAAATGCATCATTAGGCGATTTCATTGTTGTGTGAACGTCATAGAGTCTACTTACACAAACCTAGATGGTATAGCCCACTACCACGTAGGCTTTATGGTACTAATCTTATGGGATCACCATTGTATAAGCAGTCTGTTTTTGACCAAATGTTGTTATGTGGTACATGACTGTATATATATTTTGGGGGGAGGGGCAGTTGCATTTTTGGTCCATTGGATAAAGTAATATTCTTACTTCAAATCCATTTGTCTATAACAGTCATTAGTGACATTCACAATGGCCTCATCCAAAGGAGAGGCTTTTAATATTTTTCATAGGAATTAATGAGCTTTCCATATCTCAAAACTATTGCTATTAACAGCTATTGCTATTAACAGATTTTCCCGTTTTGGGCAGTGATCTCACCCCCTTGATATATTAATAGAGAGGTTTATTTATCACTCCTCTGATGGTAAGGAAGAAAAGTGTAGCCAGTTCAGAGACCATATTTTGGATGTTATTCTCCTATTTTTGAGAAAAGTAATAATTTGCTCCAAGTTGTATTCTGTTTCAGGACAAGAGCTTTTAAAACAATGATATGCTAAGTTAGTGATAATTTATTGATGAATATTTTATTCCTAGTAAAATAGTTCAGTGTATTTTTCCCCTACTTCACATTTATTGCTATTTTAAACATTATGAAGAAGAAATAAAAGTTATTGCAGCGCCAAACAATCTCATAATTTTCTAAGAAAAGCTTTATAAATTTGACCTTATTTACCATAGTGTTTTGAAATATAAAGCTTCAGTTTGTATTTATTTCCACTAGAGAAGTGGCTATGGTTTGGCACGAGAGCACTAGCAGTAGAGTCAGAAGCCTTGAGGACATTGTGCAGCTTGCTCATATTTTTAACCTCTCTGTGCCAGAACTGTGACAACTCAACCTCTTCGTTGATGGATGTAGAAATGCTTAGTACAATGCCTAGATGTATCAGTTGTCAGTAGATGTAATTCTTATAATGACTATAAAATGTTAGAAAAGTAGAATATATATGGAATATTCTCAGGAAAAAAGAATTTTAGGAAATTTGATCTGTCCAAATATATGCAGAGCTCAGGCTCCTACTGTGGGGTAGCTGTATAGGTAAAATATCAGACTGTAAACCCAATTTTAATATAGTCAGATTTATCAACCTTTTATTTATGCCTTCTGGGTTTGTTGTAATTCAGAAAAAGGCCTTTCCAATTCTGAGACTCTTAAAAACTCTCTCATGGTTTCTTTTTTACTTTCATGGATTCATTGTCTGCAACTAAATTTTTGAACTTTTGGGAATTTATCCTTGTATAATGTTTGACATTTGGATCCAGCTTTTCTTTTTCCAGGTGGATATCCACTTATTGCGACCTTTTTATTGTATAAACATGTAGGTTATTTTTTAATTTCAGAGGAAATAATGATTTGTCATTTTATTGAATGCTAGCTACAAGTCTGCTTTGTGTTACTTAGGTTTCTGATAGTCGTGACAAAGAAAAAGATCTGTTGCATAAAAACCACATGCTACAGGATGAAATTGCCATGCTAAGACTGGAAATAGACACAATAAAAAATCAGAACAAGGAAAAGGAAAAGAAATATTATGAGGAAATTGAAAGTGTAAAAGAAAAGAATGATGATCTTCAAAAGACAATAAAACTGAATGAGGAAACATTAACAAAAACAATATTCCAGTATAGTGGACAGCTTAATGTTCTGACAGCTGAGAATACGGTGCTAAACTCTAAACTGGAGAATGAAAAACAAAACAAAGAAAGACTGGAGACAGAAGTTGAATCATACCGTTCTAGACTGGCTACTGCTATCCATGATCATGATCAAAGCCAGACATCAAAAAAAGACCTAGACCTTGCTTTCCAGAGAGCAAGAGATGAGTGGTTTCGTTTACAAGACAAAATGAATTTTGATGTATCTAATCTAAAAGATAGTAATGAGATTCTGTCTCAACAACTTTCTAAAGCTGAAAGTAAAGTCAATAGCCTAGAAATTGAGCTCCATCACACAAGAGATGTTCTCAGAGAAAAGACTTTGGTTTTAGAACGTGTACAAAGCGACCTAAACCAAACACAGTGTCAAAAGAAGGAAATTGAACACATGTATCAAAGTGAACAAGGTAAAGTGAATAAATACATTGGAAAGCAGGAATCCTTAGAGGAGAGATTATCTCAACTACAAAGTGAAAATATGTTGCTTCGACAGCAACTGGATGATGCTCACAACAAAGCTGATAGTAAAGACAAGACAGTAATTAATATCCAAGACCAGTTTCAGGATATTGTAACAAAACTTCAAGCCAAAAGTGAAAAGCAAGGTCTTATGCTGGAAGAAAGAAATAAGGAGTTAATGGATGAATGTAATCATTTAAAAGAAAGAATGTATCAGTACGAAAATGAGAAAGCAGAAAGAGAAGTAAGTATCCAGAAAGGTCAATATTTTTCAAACTTCATGAAAGAAAATTCAAAGTAATATTTGATTATGGCTAAATGTGGAGTCTAGTTGAATATAAAAAATTTGTAGGCTATATATCAGCTTAAAAGCATACCTTATATCCAGCAAATAAAAATTAGACTGGAGAGGTGCTTCACTTTGAGTAAAGACATTGCATCACCTATGAAATTTTAAGAGGTTAAGTTATAAATTGTTAATAGATACAGACTGATGTTAATCATTTAGGCTTATACTGCTAAAATAATTTGAATCTGTGTCACCTCATTTTAATACCATGATGAAGCAGATGAATGAAATGCTCATACCTAAAATAAGTGTTTGAAATTAAGATTCAATTAAGTGGATGACCTTGACAGTTGATTCCAGATTTCCCAGAAGAACTGAAGTGTAGATGCTCTATCTCAGTACTTTTCCTTCAGTAGCTTTTTATACGTTTTTAGTTGGTATAATTTTATTTTTATTCATGTCGATTTGAATTAAATTTGGAAATATTTCAGTCTGAAATCATATATTCTCATGGCCTCTACTCTATAAAGGCATGTACTTTTCATTAAATTGTAATTTGGGACAAATGTGGTGAGTTTTAGCAACACTATATTTGATTTAATCTTCTCACTGCTATTTATAATTTACTTTGTACATTTTCACAAATAATTTGCTCATAATTCTCATGTCAGGGCTCACTTACTATCATTTGGATATCAGTTTGCCCAGTACAAAGAGAATTGTAGTGCTCTGTGATTTATTAATTTGGCATTCGATCTCCATTTTCAGACTAATGACGGGTGGCAGGATTCATGTGTGGCAGGAATGGAGTGTGTAGGGGAGAGATTTGTAGGCACTGAGGTCAGGGAGGGAGGTGGAGTCCAGGTTACCTCGAGCCTTGAAGGCCATTGGAATGACTTCCCTTTTATTCTGAGGTAGGAATCTATGGGAAGGATTTGAGCAGAAGATTGAATATGTGAGGAACTCTGAAGTTCATTTAAGCCTCTGATAAAAAAGAGGGAAACTGTTCCCACAGTGTAGAATTCACCACTGGTCCCACCTACATACTCCTTTCTTTGTGAGACTTTCAGTAGGTTGTAAAGCTTTGCAAATTCATCGGAGGGGAGTGGATAGTGGGGCTGAATCCATTGTCGAAGTGACATAATACTGTTGAGGCAGGAGATTGATGCCTTCTGTGTCTTTGACCAAATTCAGTTAACAGGAAGTGTGCATATGTGGAAAAGAAGGCGAATTGATGGGTGTGGTGATATTTTTCAAAGTACGTATGTTAGTGTTATATATTATTAACATAATTTAATAATGACATGACTTATAAAATCAGTAACAGAAATGTCTTCTTAGGTAGTTGTGAGACAACTTCAACAAGAACTGGCTGATACCCTAAAAAAGCAATCCATGTCAGAGGCTTCACTGGAGGTTACATCACGATATCGTATTAGTTTAGAAGATGAGACACAGGATTTAAAGAAGAAATTAGGTCAAATCAGAAATCAAGTATGTATGAAATTTAACATGTCAACAGTTAATCTAGAGCTGATTAAATAATAGAAAGTGTTTTAGGATACTAATTTTCTTGGGCAGCTTTCTTTTCTATTTTCATTATAATTAATTTATAATTTTACTATCTTTATAATGCACTTTTTTCTTAAACTCTTTCATTCTGCCAGTTATATTATACATTTTTTCTTATAATATTTACGATTAGGAAAGTTGAGAATTATGCATCATTCTTCACAGAAGTTGAGACTTTTTGTTCTACTAAACAATATTTTTTAGTGATATCTTGATTGATGAGGCAAGCCAGATTAAATCAGAGGATAATGTTTAATGAAATGTTCCAGAAAATTATCTTATTTCTCATCTTCACGTTTGTGAATGAATATAGAATCTGTGTATATTTATTTCATGGATTTCAGATGACTTGTACAGAAAGGTTATTAACAAACTAGTTGAAGTCAGGCATTTCCTTCATTTTCTTTTCATTTTAGATATATTGTAAAAGCATGGAAATATTCAGATCATGTATAGTATGTACACCAAAAATAGAGAATTAAGAAAATTATCTAGATCCCACCATTGGATTTTTTAAAAAACTTCGAGATATAATTCACATATCATATAATTCACTCATTTAAAATGAACAATTCAGTATCTCTTAGTATATTCAGAGTTGCACAACTGTTACCAGAGTTAATTTTAGAACATTTTCATCATCCCAAAAAGAAACCCCACATTCCTTGGCTGTCACCCACCCCCAACTCCCCATCTCTCCCAGGCCCAGGCAACTACTTTCTGTCTTTATAGATTTGCCTATTCTGGATATTTCATATCAATGGAATCACACAACACGTGGTCCTTTGTGACTAGCTTCTTTCACTTAACGTTTTCAAGGTTCATCCGTGTTATAGCACATATCAGTACTTCCATTTCTTTTTGTTGTCCAACAATACTCCATTGTGTGGCTAAACCACTTATCAATTCATCAGATGATGGACCTTTGGGTTGTTCCTACTTTTTGGCTGTTAATAATGCTGCTGTGAACATTCATTTATTGTGTGGACATATGATTTTATTTCTCTGCCATTGGATTTTATCTTCTGAGTTAATTGGGCTGAGTTCACCATCTCTCAGCCTTTACTCTTGCTGTCCTTTCTGTCTTCAGTTTCTAGTCCTCTTGCCTAATCGCACATTATTCAGAATGAGTGACAATCTTTCATTCTCCGTGAAGCTTTCTCGACTGTTCTCTCACTGATCTTACTCTCTCCAGCACTTGTCATCTCATCTGTGCAGGACAGTTTAGTTCTTAATTTGATTGTTTTATTTGTTTCAGGAGATAATCTTGTCTTTCTAAGTATAAATTTGTCTAAGGGGGAATAATATTTGATATGCATGGCACCTATCCTCGTATAAATAGAAAATATTTTAGCTTACAATTGTTAGGATAAAATTAAGTACTTTATACCATACCAAAAATTTCTTCTTAGAAATATTGATATAATAAAGCTTTTATTCTAAATGAATTTTAAGCAAGTGAATATAAAATTGAAAGTACTACTTAATCTAATAGAGGAGAATTTTTCAATCAAATTCTCATTTTTTTCCCCTTTGCCATGAAAAAAAAGTCTAAATTTGCCTTCCTTCATTATGCAGCCAGAACTGGGATTTACATGCTTATAGCACTTTACCAACTACAAAGCTCTGAGGACAGCTTTTCTGATATGCCAGACCACATAACCTTAACCTACTCATCAGAGTACTTGCTAAAGCAGCCCCACATAAACAGTTGCTGGGAATGAATTGATTCAGAAACTTTGATTTATCAATAGCATCCATTCCTTCCACATCAATGGCTGTGCCTTGACTCTGACAGTCATGTAAGTTATGTACTACTCAATCCAGGAGCTGCTCTTTGCCTTGTAGTCCCTGATCATTGCCCACTGAGTTAGAAGGGCAGTTGTAAGTCAGTATAAGGAAGGAAGTTAGGAAGGAAGTTAGTTATAAGTCATTATAAGCGGAAAAAAGTACTGTTGGCTAGTGGAATTAGTGAAAGTTTTTTGAAGTACCGGGGATATATTCTGGGTCTCATGCTCCCCATTTGCTGCCACTTTGAGTGGTACGAAGAATGATTTCAGTATAACTTGTATAGGAGACCACTTCTGTTGGCCTGCCATCTGCAAAAATGTCAAATTTTATTAGAACATAAAATACAGCAACAATAATAATGCTAATTGCAAATACTTGCTATGTGCTACATACTCTTCTAAGTACTATATTTATATTCCCTAATTTAATCTTCTCAGCATCCCAGTAAGGTAGATACTATTATTGTCTCCATTTTACAGATGACGAAACTGAGACACAGAAAATTTAAGTAATTTGCTCAAGGCCACACAGCTAATAACTGGTGGAGCTGGGATTCAGACCCAGGCATCCTGGCTCCTGTGTAGATGATACCTCTCAAACTGTTCCATGAAACACCTGGTTGTCACCGAAAGCAGCATGTTAACTTTTATGATCGCTGGAATAGCCATGGTTGTTCACATATGTGAATTAAAGTTGGTGTGGTGCTTAGAATACAAACATATAAATGTAAATTTGTGTATTTATCTGATAAAATATAATTTAAAAACATGAATAATATGTTTTAGTATTAGAGGAGAGGTCAGTAAGCTTTTCTGTAAAGGGCCAGAGAGTGCATATTTTATGCTTTGTGGCCATAAGGTCTCTGCTGTAACAACTCAGCTCTGCTGTTACGGCACAAAAGTAGCCATAAACAATGTGCAGATGAAACAGTGTGGCTGGGTTCCAATAAAATTTTAGTTACAAACACAGGTGATCGCAGATTTGTACTAGATTATCAGTCGTTACAAGTATTTTTTTCTTTATTTTAGTTGCAAGAAGCACAGGATCGACATATAGAGGCTGTAAGATGTGCTGAGAAGACGCAAGATCACGTACAAAAGTACAATTGAAAGCAGCACAGAAAATAACTTGAGTATTTATAAAGCAGATAAGCAGTGTAGTATGAGAATTATATCAGTTATGATAATAAATGCATCAGTGTTGAGCTGGATAAAAATTTCAGCTTTGAACTATTTTGAAATGCATGCTTTTTGCACATTACCTCTAAATTTTGCACATCATCCACAAACACCACTAGAGAAATGGCACAATTGCCAAATCATCTACTACCCAAATTTTAAGAATTTATGTAATTGCACCTTCAGATGTTTGTTCAGAAATTATGTGGTATTTTTTTTAATCTATATGTGAGAGTAATTATCTAAAAATATACATTTTAGGCTTGAAATTGAAAATGCCAAGTTAAAAGTTACAATCAAAAAGCAAGCGGGCAAAATTGAACAGCTTCAGAAAAACCTGTTAGGTACAAGTTCGGTAAGTCAATCTCTTAATTTCTATCACACTGAAAAGGAATTTTTATTTCACTAGTAGTAGTATATAAGAATATTTTGGACATTATTACATTTATATTGATACTTCTTGCTACTAGTGGTGTAATTCCTCTTTATAGAGAAAGTTGACTGAATTCATAAAATTAATGATTTTTCAGTTAAGAGTTTAATGAAAAAGATTATGATAATCTAAAAGCAATGTTTATATATACCTCATTTTGTTTGTCCATTCATCTATGGGTGAACGTTTGGGTTTTTCAACCTTTTGGCCATTGTTAATAATGCTGCTATGAACACTGGTATGCACATAACTGTTTGAGTCCCTGCTACAATTTTTTAATGTGTTTAAAAATTCCCAGAAACTGAAATTCTGGACCTCTGAAATTCTCTTGTAATCTAAATCCCTCAGTGAGATTTTGAGAATGAATTACTTTTAATATTGTAATTTGTTCTCTTCATCAAGAATGAATACTAGGTCATTATGCAAGCATTTTTCTGAAAGGAATGTGTTTTTCTCTTTGTTGGATTTTAATAAAGAAGAGATACCAGTGAAAAAGAAATGTTGCTCAATCAGGACTTTCCATTGTAACATAGTGCTTCTAGCATTGCGAGTTCAGAAACTAATTTTTTTCCATTCACTTGAGTTAATCAGCCTTTCAAAGATTTGACAATCCAATCTCAGAAAAGATTGATGTCTAATCCAGGATTCTAATTTATTGATATATGGTGAAAACTATATAACTGTTTCCCAAGCAGAACAGGATTCCCCTGCCATTCATACTCTCCTTTGTAGGAGAGGCTGCCTGTGGTTTCAGATCAGAAGATTGCATTTTGGACCCTGAGTTGGAGCAGTGAGGTAGATGCACCTACCAACTAGTTTTTTTCAGTTACAATAGCTATTCATTATACAGATATACCTATTAGGGGAACTAGAACATTCTGTTGACTGGTCTTCCTTGTGGCTGAAGAAACATTGAAAATTATTTTTTTCTAGACTTCATATATATTAGTCACATTGTATTAGCATACTTTTCGTATAAGTGACATGACAATATGTTGGTAAAAAGTCTTCTGTGAATGAGAAGGTCAGGAGCTGTCCCCTTACAGTGTCATATAGAAATCTATTAAGGTATCAAAAATTAAAAAATTTGTAAGAATACCCAAAACTGACTAAGCTTATTCAAAAATAATGAGGAATTTTCTGTAGATATCTATAGAAATGAGTTAGGACTGTGACATAGAATTATTAGCCATTTTAAGGTCTACCCTGTGAATCAAAAATTTAATGAGACAACTTTCAACCAACTCAGTCAATAGCCCTAACTTCTCTAAAAGATTCTCATCTCATGAATCCCCATCTCATAATCCCCAGAGACTACCTGGGTTAAGTTATTTGATCAACATAATTTTGAGGTAAAGAGTCCGGATTGGGAAGAAGAGAACTCTAGCTGGCTCAAGCCTCCAAACAATATAGTTGAGTATGCATCAGAAAGGAACTTCAGAAGAAGACTTCCATAAAGCCAGATTTCTATGGAATAGCAAATTATTCAAAAGAAAAGCAAATAATTGATAAGCTGACCCTTGTGGAAGACTTTTGCATTATAAAAGAAAAACAAGACAAAGTATGCTGGTCAACATCCTAAGGGTAAGGGTGCCCCCTCAAGATTAGAAAATAACACTGTACTCAAAAGTTAACACCAATAAGAATCAATATAAAATGTACAAGATTAGCTGTCTACAAAGGTAATCCACACCAAGTAATGGTTTATGAGTGTGTGGTTGAGGTTATTGTCTATGAGGAACTAGAAGGAAGAGAGAAAAGTACAGATGACCTTGGTAAAGGGGTCAAGGCTGGAAATGTAGATTAGGGAATCTGATTTGAAGCCTTGAGATTTAAGGAACTCAGAGAATTTGGAAAGAGGACTAGATGTCATTTAGAAATGAAGTGAGGGTAGAGGAGCAGAGAGAGGGTGTGGTCAGTTATTAGTTTCTGCTGAGAAGTAAAGCAGGATAAGGACTAAAAAAAAGGTCCTTGATCCTCAAAAAAATTTTAGTGGAATTATCGGATTGAAAGTCAGATTTTACTGTAAAAGAAAAGAATAAACGAGGAAAGATGAATCTTTGGATGAGACCATGCATTAAAGGTTAGAGTCCATTAGAAGGGAAGAAACGGGATGATAGAAAAAGCTATAAGAATCAAGCAACAGTTATGCTTTTATATAATATAGAGAAGACTTGAACTTTATTTAAAGAGATAAGTGGTTAATAGAAAAGGAGAAATTGAAACCTGTGGAACTTACAAAGAATGAGTCACATGATCATCAAAAATGTAATGGGGACTGCAGGGGAATTTACCAAAGATTATCTTAGTAAGGTGTGATTTAACAAAACCTGGAATATCTTGAACTATTGTTGAAAATGTTTCTAGGGCATCTTTAGAAACTAATATGTAAATATAGCCACTTTGTAAAAAGAAATTCATTAATGCTTAGTATTTTGTGTATAAATACTTCTGTTTTTAACAAATAAATTTTGGCAATTTATAAATAAATTTCAGAAAAAATAATTGATGAAAATGTAAAATCAATTTAAGCTCTTTTAAGAAAAATCATTATTTTTGAAATCTTTCCTTACTGGCATCAGGTAAACCTGTCTAAACACATCTTACTCATGAACTCATGAGAAATAATATTTTTAAGAAGTGTGAGTCTAGATTTTTACAGATAATTTTCTTTAAAAATTTTTTTCAAAGTCTGAGGATGAAAAGGAACAATTAAAGAAATTTACTGAGTTAAAACAATCTCTGGAATATAGTTTGGATCAAGAAATGAAGAAAAATAGTGAATTAGAAAAAGAGATTACTGGGTAAGATTTTAATATTTCAGATCATTTCAACCATTAATTAATTGATTTAACTATAATTTTACTTTATTAAAACCTAAATACGTATTCCTTTTATATCTGCATTTTCATAATTAAACAAAATATGCTATTTAAAAATTTACTTCAGAAACTCACAGCACAATCTACAACGCCAAAATAGTGTACTTACTTTTTCATTATTCCTAAAACAATAACATCAATACCTTTTGCATATAATGTCAACTGCACTCTTCATTGTCTACCTTGAATTTTTATTTCTGCAAGGTATCGTTGCTTTCTTTGATAATCTTTCCTTCTTTTAGTAGTGTTCTTCCCTTCAGCATTCAAATATTTTAATATCTAAAAACCTATCTGTACCATTGTTTAATAACAGCAAAAATTATCTTGATTTGGCTTATATTTTCTTTCTGCCTTATTTAGTTATAAAATATATCATACATACAAAAATTACATATATGACTTAAAGAAGAATAAAATGAATAATCATGTTTTTACCACTCAGCTAAAAAAATGAGGTATTTCCCAATGTCTGTGAAGCCCTCACAGGGCTTCCTTTCTGTTTATTTGCTGAGTACTGAAGTTTGTTCTGTGGTTGCAATCAACATTTTGCTCTCATTTAACTGTCTTTCTCTACATTGTTTTGCATCCGTTCCGTTTTGTTAATGTTGTGCAAACCAAGATCTCTAGATCTCTTCTTAAAACATCTTGATGAGACTGTAACACATTATCTCTCTGCTGATTTGCTTTCTTCTAAAGGTCTGCCTGTTTCCTTTTTCCCTCAACTCAGACTTCAAACATTATTTTTCCCTTTTTATTTTGAATGATCTCCTTGATGTTTTTTGTGTGTACTTTCTTTTCTTCTTGTAGACTGTGGTCAGTAGGTACCAAAATGTATTTTTGAGTCTTTTGAGAACATTTATATATAAGTATACTTTTCTTCTTCACCTTGAATACCGATCTCTGCTTTATAACTAATATTTAGTAATAGGTTAATAGTAATATTAACATACTAAAAATGGTTATTAATAACTTATAAGAACTTTGTATAGTTACAGAATTAATCCTTTATCATGTATGTCATAAAAATTTTCTTAATATTTACCTTAGATTATAGTTTAGTATGCTTTTAAACAATATTAGATTGGAATGAATGAGAAAGGCTCGTAATTTATAGATTTGTTTATTTTATATGGTAGAATATAATATCTGTGTAAATAATTGTTAAATATTTACTCTTAAAGAACTTGACTTACTCATTCTGTACCTTTCTGCAGATTTAAGAAACTCTTAAAAATGACAAGAAAGAAGTTAAATGAATATGAGAATGGAGAGCTTAGTTTCCAGGGAGATTTAAAAACCAATCAAATTGAAATGGATATTCATATTAATATGCTAAAACATAAGGTAATTTTTAATCAATTTTCGGACCCCAAAATCACTTAATTTGGGGAAATATGTCACTCAGTGCTTTGAGCAGTGAAATATAGATTTTTCTGTTAATTTTATAGACTTGATACCAGTACAAAAGACAACTTTTTTCTATATCATTTTTCTAGAAAAAGGGCATACTGTGTACTGTCCTATGTCTTGAAGCCTGGCTAGTGATCTAGAGCCGAGCAGCACACCGTTACATGACCCCAAAGCACTGGCACGAAATCAATTTTTTTTTGGTAACAGCTTTATTGAGATATAATGAACACACCATGCAGTTGACTCTTTTAAAGTGTACAATTCAGTGGTTTTTAGAGTATTCAAAGAGTTATGAAATCATCACCACAATTCATTTTAGAACATTTTCATCACCCTACAAAGAAACCCTATACCCTTTAGCCATCACCCTGTGCCAGTTTCCCCTTCCCCACTCTTCTCAACCCTAGGGAACCACTGCTCTACTCTCTATCTCTATAGATTTGCCCATTCTGGACATTTCATATCAATGGAATCACACAATATGTGGTCCTTCGTGACTGCCATCTTTTATTTAGCGTAATATTTTCAAGGTACATCTATTTTGTAACATGTATCAGTACTTTGTTTCTTTTTATTGCTGAATAATATTCCATTGTATGGACATACTACATTTTATTTATCCATTCATCAGTTGATGGACCTTTGGCTTGTATCAACATTTGGGCTATTATTAGTAATGCTGCTTATGAACATTCATGTCCAAGTTTTTGTGTGAACATGTTTTCATTTCTCTTGGGAATATACTTATGAATGAAATTGCTGGCTCATATGGTAACTGTATTTAACCTTTTGAGGAACTGCCAGACTGTTTTCCAAAATGGCTGCACCATTTTACATTTTCATCCACAGTGTATGAGGGTTTCAGTTTCTCCACATTCTTGCTAACATTTGTCATTAGCTGTCTTTTTGATTATAGCCATCCTAGTGGGTGTGAAATGACATCTCATTGTGGTTTTGATTTGCATTTTTCTGGTAACTAATGATGTTGAGCATCTTTTCATGTGCTTATTATCTGTTTGTATATTTTCTTTGAAGAGCTGTCTATTCAATTCCTTTGCCCATTTTGAAATTGAATTATAAAAATTCTTTAGATATCCTAGATACAAATCCCTTATCAGATATAGGATTTCCAAATATTTTGTCTCATTCATTAGCTTGCCTTCACTTTCTTGAAAGTGTCCTTTGATCCACAGAAGTTTTTAATTTTGATGAAGTCCAGTTAATCTGTTTTTCTCTTTTGTTGTCATATCTAAGAAACAGTTGCCAAATCCAGTCATGAAGATATACACCTATGTTTTCTTCTAAGAGTTTTATCCTTTTAGCTCTTACCTTTTGAGTTAATTTTTATACATGGTATGAGGTAGAGTCTAATTTTATTCTTTTGCATGTCCAGTTGTTCCAGTACCATTTGTTAAAAAGACTGTTCTTGTCCCATTTAATTGTTTGGCACTCTTGTTGAAAATCAATTGGTCATAAATGTGAGGGTTTATTTTTGAGTTCTCAATTCTAATTCATTATCTATATGTCTGTCCTCATGCCAGTACCAAATCAAATTTTTAAAAAGTCAGTGTAGTAGAATGTCTTTAACTCTACTCCTGTGGAGATTTTTTGCTTCTTGAAGGAGCCTGTGGCCAGTTTATGCATTGCTGACTCCATAACATGATGGGAAGTAAGCTTACAAAAATAAAATCCATTCCTTTTATTTTCTCCATTTAAACTTTCGGTCTCTCACCCAGTGCCTCCCACTTTGTTCCCATTTCCATCAAATCTTGGTCACAAGATCTGCTGACTCAGTCTGCTATTTCCTTCATTATGATTAACTCACTATATTTCATAGACTTATCCATAAATTTCACCATCTAGGAAGAAGATTAAGTCTGGGCTGTCAGCTTTCCTCTTCAGAAATCTCACTAATTTGTCATCTTGCAATTCACAATTAGATCCTCTTTTGACCTGACTGACCTGATTCTTGTGTATAACACTGGTGCTGAGCCTGTTCTTGGCACAGATCCTACGTTCTCAGAAACCACAATTCCCTGTATTTACCTTCTTTTACTTAAACAGAAAGAGAGGCATAGCTGTACTTTATAGCTCAATACATAATTAATGGAATAAATATTTCATCTCGTCCAAAGAAAAATTGTCATGAGTACAGCTGTTAAAAATCAAGTAGTACTCAATCAATTTATCAGAGACAAATAATAGATTAGTGATTTGAATTTCAAAATCTCAAAACCAGTTTGTATGATATGGCAAAGCATTGTACTACATAAAGACGAAATGGTCTTACCTCCCATACAAACAAGCTCGCAGTAAGGTAAAGGAGAAATTGTATTTAATGTAAATAGTGCCAGAGGACGCTACATTTATCTTACTACTGAAAAGATTAAAAATGATTCCATCATGTTTTCTTTATTTTCTCACTGAGGAAAGGAAAATGAAGATTGAGTACTAGATCGATTAATAAATACTGAAAGCTGCCTATCTCTTATAGAATTTCAGTTAATTGAAATCAGGCAAAAGATCTAATTTTGGTTATTAAGCTATTTCTAGTTGTCTTTCAACCATTACACTTCACATCATATGTGTCCTTCCTTACCAGTCTTCCTTATCCCCAGACTTGAGGGGAAATTCTAAAGAGGCATTCCTGCCTATTTGTAAGGAATTGTAACTGAAGGAAACCCTAGAAAAACTTCCTCCTTGATAGTTCTTTGGTCTTTCTTCTGGTTATCTGCTTCTTCTCATTAGCATTGTTTGTAATTAATAAATTAATCTGAACATTTGTTAGATCCCACTTCACAGGAGACTAATTTCTACTGTATAAGTTATGTTTCTCATTTCTTTTTTTCATCCACTTTTCTGTTTATCCGTTTTTCCCTAACAAACGCCCCAAAGTTTAGTGGCTTGAATAAACCACATTTATTTTGTTCACAAATCTATAGTTAGGAAAAGAGTGATCAGGACAGCTTGTATCTGTTCCCCTCAGCTTCAACTGGGGCAACTCGCAGTCTGGTGGCTGGAATCATTTGAAGGTTTGTTCACTCACATGTCGGCTTGTTGATGCTGGCCATCTGCTGAAACTTTCGTTGGGGCAGGCAGCCGGAACACCTACACGGGAACACCTAGGCTCTCTTTGTGGCCTGAGCTTTCTCACAACACGGGGACTGGGTTCCCGGGTTAAGCAGCCTGAGATACAGAGCCAAGGAGAAGCTGTATTGCCTTTTCTAGCCTAGCCTTGGAATTCACACAGCATCACTTTCACCACATTCTGTTCATTAGGAGCAAGTCTTTAAGGTTGGCCCATATTCTATCTTTTTTATGGAATGAATATTAAAAAACTTATGGACACATTTAAAAACCAGCATAATCTACCTACTGGCCACAATTCTTTATATTCCTCCCACATGAATAATACACTCATCTGTACACAGTATCCCCCACAAGACTCGATTGTGGCATAAGGCTCAGGCTGGAGTCCAAAATCTTACCATCTTAATCAGATGCAGATGGGGATGAGGTGCCTGGGTTGCAGTTTCTAGAGTATAGCCCCTCTAGTACAATTCCTCTCAATACAAAGACTTGAGAACTAAAGAGACAAGTTATCCACCACCCACACACCCCAGCACTCTGCTAAACTGCTAACGATTCTCCCATTCAGAAATAGAAAATGGGAGGCACACTAGTCCATAGCAATTCTGAAAGACAGCCCCATGCATGCTGCTAGTTCTTTAATTCGGACTTAGTCCTAGCCATAGGAAGGCTTCTCCACGGCCCTTTGCTGTACCCTCTGGGCTCTTTGTTCTGTCCTTTTCATAAGAAATGACTTGTGTTTTGCAGCTGAGTAGTTTTCTTAGCCTGCTTCCGCCCTGTACAACTTCTAAGACCCAAAGGCCTCTTCATTATGTACTGTCTTGGTCTCTTCTAGTCCAAACTAGCAAGCAGTGTTTTTGCTACTACAATTTTCTTAACAACTTTGAGTTTCTTGTGAATTTTATTGGGGTTCATGCCATTAGAAAAGCCACCCTCTCAACTCTTTTTGAGATAAGCTCTTCACCTCGCGCTTCTTGTGAAGCTGTTGTAAGACAATGCCTTTAAAATTTAAAATTCTTATAGTCTTAGGATCCTTAAAGGAATTTGAGGCACCACCTTAAGTCTTTCCAAGGGTTTAGCAAACAGTTTTACAGGCTTGGCTTCAGCCTTAGATCGTGTTTTCCTGGCGGCACCCTAGATTTGATCTGAGCTCAGAAGCTGTTTCTCTATTTTAGCATCATTTGACAATTGGGCATGCGGAGAGGCTGTAAATGGGGAACAGATATTCGAACCGAGTAAGTCTTGGTTCCTTTATATTTAATGGTCTTTCTTTAGCTTAGCTCTCCCGTCGATTTTACTTTCAGCTGCTTCGTAGCAAGGGTCTCCTTTCCTCCAGCTTTCAGTGTCATTTTCTTCACTTGCCTAGAAGCCCTTGCTGTCAGCCTCTGGCAGGGCCATCAGGCTTCCACTAAGAGTCTCTTGGTTTTCATTCTTACTCTCCTCTACATCCTTTCAGAGTCCACCTGTCTCCTGGTTCAAAGGCACTCCATGTTTTAGTTCTTTCTTTTTAATGGCAGCACCCCATTTTTTAATATCAGTATCTGTGCCAGTTATTTATTGCTGCATAATAAAGCACCTCAAGGCCTAGTGGCTGAAAACAGCCTTTATTTTGTTCACAGATCTGCAGTTAGGCAAGGCTCCGTAAGGCCAGACCATTTCTTCTCCACTTGGCATCAGCTGGGATGACTTGAAGCTGAGGTCTAGAGTCATCTAAAGGCTGGTTCACGCACATGTCTGGAGTGGAAGCTGGCTTTTGGTTGGGACGTTAGCTGGGGCGGTCTCAGCTGGAACACCTCCATGAGGACTCACCATGTGGCCTGGGCTTCTTCACAACGTGGTGCCTGGGTTCTCAGGGTGAACTTCCCTAGAGAGAGAAAGTCAGACGGAAGCTGCATCATATTTTCTAACCTAGCCTTAGAAGTCACAGGAGTTCCACCATATTCTATTCACTGGAGACCAATTACTGAGGCCAGCACATATTTAGGGGGAGGGAATTTCATGGGAGAAGTGTCAAAGAATTTGCATACATGTTTTAAAACCATCACATCCACTCACCTTGTCTTACTAATTAATCATTATATCTAAAGGAAAGTAGTTCTTCCCAACTCGTATCACTGAAATGACAGCAAGTTTTTGTGTTGTTGTTTTTATTGTTTAGCACGTTCTCTTATTTTGTGGAAAGTAACAAAGGATTATAAGATAACGCGATTGAATTAAGGCATTTTTTCTTCAAAAAAATGTATGGATCATCTCACTAAACTTGCATACTGGGAGATGTGATTTCTCCTTAACCCTGAGCATCATTTCTCCTTGGAATACAATTCAAATTAGCATAAACTATCTGTAGTTCAGGAAAAGGCTTATAGCATTAGAATCCATATTTACAAGATTCATTAATTAGAGTCTTATTTTCAAAATCTCATTTTGGGAGACATGTATTGACTCATGCCTAAATAACTCAATATCATATCCCTAAAATTTCTTTAAGAATTACGGAGAGTTAAGATGGGGGGAAGAGGTAAGAGACTTTGTACTAAGAGGTGACATATAGTCATTTTATGGAGGAAAGATGTGAAACAATCATAGAAAAATAAGAGTATAAAATCAAGTGCAAATATTATGTGGCAAAGATAATGACAGTAGAGGATACAGTTTTGTGACTCCTGGTGGTTTTAACTTTTTTCTTGATTTTCTGAGTAATTCAAGGTTCCACGTTCTAAGACTCTACTACAGTATAGATAACATTTTATTGCAACTGAATTTATTTCACAATTTGACAGTGGTTTTGAGTTAGACTATTCTCAGTCTGCTTCCTTCATTACCAAACTATATTATTTTATTCATGCAGATTGATGATCTTACAGCAAAACTGGAAACTGCATCTTCAAAATGTGTACATCTGGATGCAGAAAAGCAAGTTCTTCAACAGGAATTATTATCTATGAAAGCAATACAAAAGAAATGTGAAAAACTAGAGAAGAGTAAAAGGAAGTTGGAACAAGAAGTGGTAAATCTCAGAAGTCACATAGAAATGAATATGGTGGAACACAGTCAAGTAGAACAGTATAAATGGGAGATTGAAGAAAGAGCAAGACAGGATATAGTAGAAAAATTAAAAGAAGTCAATCTATTTTTGCAGGTTGGTTTATTGATCTATAATGGGCTTTAATTCATTTTACTGCAAAATACATTTTGGATATATACTGTGTCTGTATTTCCTCTACTTTCCTTATAGCAATTGGTTTTGTAGATTTCTGGAAGGAAGGTAGTGTTTGTTTCTCCCTTTAAATATTTGTTTCCATCATTATTATTATCACCAAATTGACCCCTAGTGAGAATCATTCTATTTTTAAGACCAGTTGGTATAAAACAAGAGTATTGGGAGGAAAAGAAAAAAAATGTGATTTAAAAATGGTACCATACTCTTGAATTATTCTTAAGTTATAGTGTTCAATTTTTTAAATTTTAAATGGATTCTATTATTCTTTGAATTGTCAGATTACATGAATACTAATATAACAATGACTTAACTATTTTTATAAATCAGTTGACATTGATGATTAATATTTTAAAGTTTAGCTTTTTTTTCACATTTAAAACTGCTCTCTGAATCATTGACTCAAAATTAAAGGAAACAAATATACTATAATTATTCAGGTCATAATTATTTTAAAAATGTATCCTTTTAATTTTGCTTTAGACACAAGCAGCAGCTCAAGAAAACTTAGAGCAGTTAAGAGAGAATAATAATGCTTCAATAAGAAGTCAAATGGAACATAGAATTAAAGATCTGGAATCTGAACTCTCCAAAATGAAAATTTCTCAAGAAGATTTTAATAAAACAGAATTGGAAAAATATAAGCAACTCTATCTAGAAGAATCAAAAGTTAGAAAATCATTGGAAAATAAACTAAACAAGTAAGTCAAAACATAGAATCATAGAAAATAAATTTAGCTCATTAATTTGCCTCTAAAGCATAATTTTTATCAAGCCAGGTTCATGAGGTTAGTAGGAAGTGAAAGCTAACTAGATAGTATAGTTTTGGAAAATGTTAGTAAATGAACTTACATTTAACATGTTAGTCCAGGACAATTTGCATCTCTCCCCCTTTTTTGATTTTATATGACTTCATTTTTTTCCCCTTAGTATTTTCATAGAGTTAACCTGATCTACTAGTGTTTAAGCTAAGTATTTTGGGGGCTTTATAATTTAGACAGCCACTCAGAATTCCCCTGAATAGAAATATTAACAAATGTAACTAATTTTTGTAAGATTACATCTTAAACCCGAAGGGTCAAGTACTATTGCTATGGGCTTATTAACTTTCTTGACTGAGATCTTTGGTATTATTACTAGAGGGCGCCTTGAGACAAACTCTCCTTCATAGCTTTTCTACGCTATATAAAACCATCCACGTGAAATAGGGAAAGATTATCCTAGGGGTGAAGGGCAGTGTAATTCACAAAATCATTTGAGGGGGATGTGGAAGACAGAAAGGGCAGATCCCACCTCCAGTACCTTGGTAACAATGTTGGGAGCTAATTGCCCAACTTGGCTGTCTCCTTCTACCCTAGAGGGTGTCACTCTAAATTAGTCCTCAGTGCCAAATGCTTCATTTCTCTGAGGTAAGGAGTGAAATGTACAAGGGTAGTGAAAGCAAATGCTTGAAAATATCTTTCAAGTTTTTTTTTTAAATCTCTAAACTGGTTTACTAAATATAATGGCATCCTCAAGGATCCCATAAGGAGGGCTATTGTGGAAGGCAGCAGGTGTTACCTGTTAAGGCATCTGCATCACTGATAACAATTTCTCTCCCCTCTCTCCTTTGAATTACTTGTTAGGATTCCTCCTAGAAACATATGTACTTCTTTAGAACAATTTTAAACTTAAAATTGTATATAGTAGGTCTCCTCTGACACATTTTCAGTGTTAAAACAGTATTTAATGGGAAATTCCATTTACTATTACGGCAACTTTAAAAAAAAAAAAAAAAGCAAGGGGCCGGCCCTGTGGCCTAGTGGTGAAGTTCAGCATGCTGCACTTCAGCGGCCCGGGTTCGTGGGTTTGGATCCCGGCTGCAAACCTACACCACTCATCAGCCATGTGGGGGTGGTGACCCACGTACAAAGTAGAGGGAGATTGGCACAGATGTTAGCTCAGGGCTAATCTTCCTCAAGCAAAAAAAGAGGAAGATTGGCAATGGATGTTAGCTCAGGGTGCATGTTCCTCAGCAAAAAAATAAATAAGTAAAAATAAAAGCAAGTCATTTAGGAATCATTTAGGGAAACTTGGAATACTAAACATTTGTCTTTTGCAATCTTCACAGGACTAATGAGAGGCTGGCAGAGATCAGTACTGAACTTCTCCTGAAGAAAGAGCAGAACAGATCTTTACTCAGCACTCTTACTACGAGGCCAGGCCTGGAGCCGCCTTGTGTTGGAAATCATAATAGTAGTTTAGTGCTCAACAGAAATCTTACTCCAAGAGAAAACTTGGTGATTCCTTCCTCAAGGCCACGGCCTTCGAATAACAGCATGGAGACTTACTATACCAAGGTGAGTTATATTACTTTTTTTTCCTTGGGTTTCAGATTTCCGATATAATTCCTGTTTTGAGTTTGGTGAAATTCTGAGTTGTTTGATTGACTAATGCACACTAAGTAAAAGTCATAATTATTTGTACTAATAAAGAAAGTAGACAGAAATTTTACAGTTTTTTTTTAAGAGATACCTCTTGTTAACTTTATTTTCAAGAGATACCTGTTGTTAACTTTATTCAGTAAACGTAACGCATTTTAAATTTCTTGAAAAGCTTGAATTTCAATTCAATTTTAGAAATGAAATATTATTGCCTAATAACCAAAGGTATACTTTGAGATTCTTTGGCTTGCTTTCTACTTGATCTCAGTTTGGTGGTGGTTCGTAACAGTTTTAAAGTTTTACTGCACCCGAATTTTTCCACCCCTAAGAATAAGTGAATGATTGGCATCCAAAAACTTAGCCACATATGAATATTTATTATTTAAAGAAACCCAAGGTAAATCCTTTTTATGAATCAAATTCATAAAAACTTGTAGCACTAAAACGATTAATTTCTTTTTTTAAGTTAAAATTTTTGCTATTATGTGAGAGTACATCCTTAATTACTATTTTACTTACAGCGTTTTTGTCTCAATTTTTATAAAATATGTCTATGGCTGGGCAATTGTAGAACATTTTCTAAATAGTTATATCAAGCAAATATTTTAATTTGTAAAGTAAAATTCACTTATGTCTCTCTCTCTTGCCATCCATCACTTGAGTGATGGATGACTAAGATAACGATGATATGAAGAGTCTTTAAATAGCAACTAGTTTTCACTGTGTATCATTGTTATTAAAATATCTATCTCAATCAGTGCACATTGGCTTGTGGTTTTGATGATGTTTTCATGATCTTCTTAGGGCAGAGAACAGTAGCATAGCCCGTGTTAAATTGAGGCCTCAACCTGATTTCTTCACTTGGCTTCATGTCCTAACAAATCATAGAAAAGCAAAGCTAGAGTTCCTTAGATAGCACTGAGGCCAAATAGCTTAAAAGAGAATAAAATGACTGTTTTAGTACATAAATTATAAGATCCTAGCTAGCTGATATTTTTTCATCATTTTATTAGCTTAGTGTCATTTTATTTTTCTGAAAAAATGAGAGGATTCAAGATCTAAGTGTTTCAGAGTCATGAAATTGGACTACTGCTACAAAAAGAAAATGAATGTCAAATACTTCTGTAAATGGTTAAGCATGATGCAGACTTAAAATGTTCGTATTAGTTCTCACCAGAAAAATCAGATAACGTATCATTTAACAAGATGAAGAAGAAAGAGTGTGTAAATGCAGGAGCAATGAAAGGAGATTTTTGAGGAAATTTTTTTGGAGGAAAGAGGTTTATTTTTTAGTATTTCTAGATAAATTGAAAATAGTTTATGTTAAACTTAGTGTTGTAGTTCCAAGGCATACATAGTTCCCTGTGGGGCACTGGATTGCCAAGTCGTGCTAGACTTAATAAGAGAGATTGAAAAGCACTAAGCACTCCTCCATCAAAAGACAGAGAGAGACAGGTCTGCTAATCACTGCAGAATGCCCTGGAAGTGTTCTTACACAGTTGTTGTTCACAGAATTCCTCCTCAGACTTGCCGAAAGAGGTGGCTTCTGAGTTGCTAGGAGTTTAATTATTTCCACTAGGAAAACATAAAGTAATACTAGGAGAGGTGGTAACACACTGTCTAAAATGATAGAAGGGGATGACTTTTTGGATGGGGCATTATAAAACAAGAGACTTCTAAAGATTTTTAGCTATGATTCTAGAAAGTAAAATGTTAGAAATAATATTAATATTGAATTTGTTTACCAATCTCCTTTATTTGCAAGGTTTTAACATTTTGGACTATTCCTACTGTGAAGTTCTGTCTTACTCAGCATTTTTTTCTAACTTTAAGGAAAATAATTATAATAAAGTATTGCTTTATGTCTGTGATTTCAGTTGTACTGGTTGTTGAAGCAAGTTTTCTCCACATCCATAACATTTAGATTTATTGATTCTGTCACCGTGACGTGAAGCTTAGCCTTGCACTTGATACAAATGTGGTGGTAACAGATTACTGCAGATCTTTCCCCCTAATTTTTACCTTCAATTTTCACATTCTAGTTTAATTCTGGGGTGATTTGTCCTGTATATCAGAAGCAATTTTATAGTTTCATTCAATTGTGTTATTTAATTATATGATTATAAAATATAAAAAGTTAAAATTAGCTTGAACAGATACATCAGTAGTTAGATTTTTCTTGCCAAAGAATTTTTTTTCCAAAAATTGAAAACTTAAAAATTTATTTCAGAAAATTTTATGGCAGATTTCTTTGGTTTAAAAATTTTTTGTGTTCAAGAGTTTTTTAGTGTCTGTGTGCCTAGCACAATGCATGGGCACAATAGTTACTTAATAAATGTTCTTTAAATCTGTTTTATAAGGAAAGACTAAATTTCACATTGATTTTGGACTTCTGGTGCATTATTGAGACTTTAAAAAAAATTCTAATAATTTATTTAAGTAATTTTTAAATTTCTCAAATGTCCATTTAGTTTAGCAACTCTTTTTCTCTGGTTATACAAATACATCAAAGCTAAAACAATTAATATCCCTAAGACTTTAACTTTTACATGACAGAACATTGTCTCAACAGAATGAGTCACATTTCTCCCCGACTAAGACTAGGCCTCTTGTTTGCATCCAAGGCAGTGCCTGTCTGCTCTGAATTCCAGCTCCAATCAAACTAGCACAGTAGTTATGCTAGTTGCTCATAAGGCAGAGACGGAGTTTAATAAACTTGTTCATTATATCGGTTATATGCTCTGTATAATTCCTCATGTCTCTACTTCATTTTGCCTACTTGGACAAATGCCCAGTAGTCATTTTATCCTTTGAAAGATTCAGGGAATCTCTCAGCTTCTTCCAATTCTTTTTCTTTCATTCATTTTTTTCTCTGTACTTAATTCTTAAGCTTCTTGATTAACAAATTCTCTCTCAGTTCTTTTCTCTGCAGCAAAATACATGTATTTAATATTTACAAACTCACAAGTGTAATTTCCTTCATAGATTAATCTATTTACAGTTGGAAAATGAATTGTAGTGGTTTAAATGGGCAAACTTACTTGATTTTATTACATTTTTATATTTACCATATTTGTTTTTATAACATTTGAGTAGTTCTTAAAATAAAGAATGATACCAAATTTTAATTTAGAAGTGTCAATAGTTACGGAAAATATGTTAACTTTGGAAGTGTGTGTGTGTGTGTGTGTGTGTGTGTGTGGTGTGTTTGTATGTATCATATTGGTCTCAAAAAGAGAACGCAACATTATTTTCCAACCTGTAATCTCAAATATAATTTAATGGTAGCCTATCAATAAATTATTGTTCAATGAATGAACATATATTTGTATTTGTTGTGCTTTGCTATTGTTATTGGCTTCACTATATTTCTAAAATATTCCTTTCAACTTTTTCCCTCATTAAAATGGGGATTGTTTTGAGGAATGTACAATAATTATAAAGTCAAGGAAGAAGAGAATATTTCTATTAGTGTTGTCTAGTCATCTTTCTTCTTGGAGCTGTGGAGGGGTAGGTGGCAAATGACACTCCTCTCCCCCTTCTGAGTTCAGAACATAGGAGTTAGGCAGATGGAGAGCAACTTACTGTCTTTACTACTAACACCTACTAGCGAAGTGGAGGATGTGTTTGAGGTGTGCAGCCACTGTGGGCTTCCAAACACTTCATCCTCACTTAGGCGCTTCCCCACACGGTTGTAAGTGGAGGAAACAAATGCTTGACACCCACCCCAGGGGCAGGCTGCTCACTGCAGAGAGGAGAGCAGACCCGAATTCACATCACCGTGGGCAGACACATCTTTTCAAAGTAAAAATTTGGAACCAAGCAAGCACTCTTAGTTCCTTCTCCCAAGTTCACACATTAAGTAAATCTCCCCCCTCCTCTCCGGAGGAAGGTGGAGAGAGTATAAGTCCTCACATGAAAACTTGAGGCCAGGGAAATGAAGGTTCTTCTATAATTTTTGACTGGATTTAAATTATAATTGAAATTAAGCTCATGTCTTTTGTACATACCAACTAATGATGAGAAGTGAGACAGAAGTATGCTAGATGGTGAAGAGAAACCTGTTTTATGTTTTAAGTTTTGCGCTAAATAACCCACAACATGGATAATTCATCTGTTGATTGATTTTGGTAAACCAAGTTTTATTTGGAGGAAATGACTAGTTCTTTTAAGCAAGAATTTCCTCAATTTCAGCTTGCTTAATTCACTAAAGATTTTCTCCTTCAACTTCCCTGACCTGTGGTTAAAAAAATTTGCACTTTATAAATTGAGTATATTGAATGCTACTAATAGGAGTTATGATATTAATTTCAGTCCCTTTATTTTTATTCATGCCTTGAAAATGTATAATTTAGTTAGAAAGCTACTATTGCATGTCTCATGCATAAACGTTATTGAGCTACATGACAGTTTTACATATTCATTTTCTCTGAGTTATAGTTAAAGATCTATGTATTTTTCCTAAATATGAGGAAGTAGGTCGTGTAGAACCTAGGGTCAGTAAGAAGAACTAAAGCCCATTCCTGGCCTACAGGTGGTTGGCTTTGTGACCTCAGGCAAGCTACAATCTCTCTGAGCCTTTCTTGCCTCTTAGGTAAAATTAGGGATTTTGACTAAATCAGTGACTTTTGTAACTTGAAAAAAATTTTTTTCAAAGAACAAAACCTTTCTTTTAAAAAAAAATTTGCATCAAACTATATTATGTAACAGAATTAAGTAGAGCTGTCTAGCTGAAGGAGGGATGGAGACTCTGAGGCTGTGACTTCTTTATCCCTCAATCCTGCAGTGTCGCCAGTAGAACCTTATATTTCTATGGGACAGAGTTTGAAAACTACCGGTTAGGAGAGAATACTTCTAATTAAAAATCCTTTGAATTAAAATTGACTGATACATTGTTTGCCTGTGTATAATTTCCTCACCTTTCTATATTTTTGATAAATGGAAAAGTACAAATAAAATTGCAGATGTGTCCTCTTTATTCATCTTGGATTCCAGGCTACTTCCACCATCAGAACCACAGTCCTCACCTAGAAATAAACAGACAGGTCATGGAAGGAAATAGTTAGGAAAAGAACCTTTATGGGAAATATAGTAACATTACATTAGTAGTTCCTTAACTAAACTCATGTAAACATGTGATTTACATCTTACATAGCGTTTAGTAATTGTGATATAAAATTGTTTCAATAAAGTCCTCTCCCTTCATCTGGTACTGAGTTATTAGTTTTACAAGGCCTGTCTAGTAGTGTTGTCACATTATTCATTTTATAAGGCCCGTCTATAATGCTATTGTCAAAAAAGTGTTATCACAATATTAGGACACATGTTAGCCACAAAAATTTGTCTTCACAACTAAAATTTGGCATTGGATATCACATTATTATCACTACCATGACCCTGTTTGGGGCATTTAGTGAGAGGATACCTTTTATAAGAAAGATTTAAATAAGAACATTCTAGATGGGGAAATTTATAATACAGTTTGAAATAGTCCCAAACATTTCATAATTAAGTAGATAACTGTAACTAGACAAATGTTTCAGAAAATCAGCCCTGATTTCTAGAAAGGAAACATGTTCCAATAAAAGAGTTATATATTGTTTTCCTTGTTTCTGATTCTAGAAAGTTGAATCAGAAACCAAGTTTGAAAACTGGCTCTAGCCTATGTTTTTCCTTTCTTCGGGCAGATTTTCTGAAATCTTTGTGTCCATATGAATAAAGAAATGTTTCAGTCACAGTACAGACAGCAAAATATCTTTACTTAGTTTTTGCCAGTAGAATTTTCACATGATATTATGACAGGACCACTTTCCTCATTTTATGTATTTAAGAATGTACGCTAAAAAAATCAATAACATAGATCAGACCTTAAGATTTTAATTTTCTAAAAGTGCGGAATGAAGAGTTTATTTTAAGGAAAAATCCGTTAAAGTAAAAAAACTGATTAAACTTTTACAAAGGGCAGATTTTCTAAGAACTGCAAGGTAATGCCTTCAGTGTGAACTATGACTTGAATTGTTTAAACGACTTGGTACCAATAAGATCAAACATCACCCTTCTGAAGTTATGTATATTCAGCGGACCAATACTAAGTGTACTTAGTGTATTAGTGTATCAGATTCATCTAAATATCATTACATACATATGTTCTCTATTATTTAAAATCAAAATATATAGGAATTTATTTTATTTTATTAATGTGATTATTTTTCTATCTAAGCGATCCCCAAGTTAGGTCTAGTCTCTCAAAGTATTATTTAAATGCCACATTTCTTAAGCTATATATCATTCCTACGATAATGTCTCTTGTTTAACTTAAACATTATAAATAATGTTTGACTTATTTCAGATGCAGCAGGAGTTGGAAAAAAATATAACTAGAGAACTAGAAGAAGGTATGTTGCCAAAATTTATCAACTGAATTTAGATATCATTGATTTCTGAAATAAACTGTAAATAGTAAATGGCATCCCTTTCCCTTGTTTGGATAATAGATACTGTTAAATATTTTTTCTTATACATAACTAGAGAAAAATGTGAAAGCATAAACATTCATAATGAAGAATATACTTATTCTTCATTTATTCATCATGTTCCATAGCTTTTTAAATATCTCAAAAAGTTGATGTATCTCTTTTTATTTCTGGCTATACTGTACCCTTCCTTCACGTCTGCCATCCCTGTGGAACTGTCAACCTACACACTGAAACTATTCTCAGGAAACATGGGCTTCATCAACTTCTCACATTTCTGGAAGTGATATAAGGTCAAAAAAACCAGACTTATCTAGTAACACTTAGTCAAGCAAAGACAGTTCCTGCAGCTGTCACTTGACGGGTGACATTTAACTCTCCAGTCATTGACTGTGTTGTCGGCTTACCTTTTGCTCTCAGGAAAAATTCCAGATTCCTCAGCATGCAATAAAAATACCCAGATCAATTTGGTTCTTGCCAAATTATTCAGCCTTATCTCTTGCTACTTACCCTCCTCTGCCCCTTTGCTCAGCATCTCGCCAAACTAGATGACTTACCATTCCACGGTGTTCTTCCTCCCTCCAGTCTCTGCATATGCTTCTTCCCTCTATCTGGCACACTTTCCTTGTCCTTCCGGTATCAACTTACAAATCACCTCCACCAAAAAGCTGACAACATTGACACCGACCTGGGATGTCCCTTCTGTGTGTTCCAATAGTGCCTGTTTTATCCCTGTTGTGGGACATAGGAGCCTGTATGGAAATTGCCTTTTTGTCTGTGTTTTCAGTTTATAGTATATGACTGTTGAGGGAGGGACTGTGTCATCTTCATCTTGTAATTCCAGTGCTTGTTACAGTACCTGAGCACCTGGTTGTTGAATAAAGGAGTGAAGAATGAGAAAACCAGAGGCTCTGAAGCTTAGCTACAACAGCAGTTAATTCAGTGTGCAGCCCTGGGGAAATGATAGTTCCTAGTCATCTTGTACTCTAGTACAAGATGTATATTTTGTACTCTAGTCATATGTTGATATTTTTCATTCTTCTTAACACTGGTAAAGGTCTCAACTTTTTTTTACTAACTTATACCTAGTTAACAATGAAGTATTTTAGATGAAGACTGTAATTCTTTCTTTTTCTTCCCAGCTGCTGCTGAATTTGAATCTGGACCCTGTAGAGCTTCTCCTCTAGGATCTACTGATGAGTCAAATCTAAGTCAAGATCTGCTTTTGAAAACGTCACAAGAATATGTCCAGATTTTGAAGAAAAATTATATGATCTGAAAAATAAATAGTAAAAATTTATTTACTAGGCTTAGTTTACATAACGTTTTGTTTCCCATCAAACATATGATGTGAAAATTTTAAAGGAAAATATTTTTGTATCGTATGTGTATGATGCTAATTTATATGGTATTTTAAACTGTTTCTTAGCATCAAACTAACTTTTAACCAGATTTTGGGAATGAAAACCAGCACTTACATACTCAAACTGCCCACATACCAGCTGTTTAAACAGCACCCAAGCAACCAGGTTGTCATTAATACGTCAGTGGTGTTAATAGCTTTTTTGTATTTTATAATTTTTTTCACTGTATATGGACCTAAAGATTTAGACAGACATCATTTTGATATACTGCTGCTGTGGCTATTGTCAATGTTTGGATATGTTACAATTGTTATAGTGCCATAAAACTTAGTATATATAATTTTAATTTTAAACACTGATTCATAGATCTTTCCTCATAGAGAAATAAAATTTGCCTAAGGCTGTTCACCTTTTCTGTTTATTTATTTTTTATTTACTTTTTGGAAATAGTCTTACTATTAGAGAAAAGTTCCAAGTTTTAGTAAAGAACTTTTTTCCCCTGAACCATTTGAGAGTAAATTGCTGATATTATGCCATCATCCCTGATTCCTTCAGTGTTTATTTCCTACAAGTCAGTACATTGCACATAACTACCATCAACCTTCACAATCAGAAAATTAACACTAGTGCATTCTGTCATTTAATCCTCATATTCTTTTCAAGTTTTACCACTTGTCTGTGGCGTCCTTTATAGCAAAAGATCCTGTTCAGATCCATGGATTGCTTTTAGCTGTCACGTCTCTTAGTCTCCTTCAGTCTGGAACACTTCTTCAGTCTCTCCTTCACTTTCATGACCTTGAATCTTTTGAAGAGTCAATTCTAGTAATGTAGAATATCCCTCAATAGGGATTTTTCTGATGTTTCCTTATGATAAGATTCAGATCATACCTTTTTAGCAAGAGTATCACAGAAGTGGTCCTGGACTCTTCTCATTGCATCTTATCATGTGACCTACAATTTTGATTTGTCCCATTACTGGTGATGTGAATGTTGATCACTGAATGTAGTATCTGGTGGGTAATGTTACTTTTTCACTTTATAATTAATTAGTATTTTATGGGGGAAGAACTTTGAGACTATGTAAATACTTCTGTTCCTCATCAAACTTCTGATTTATTCATTTACTTGTATCAGTATGGATTCATGGTTTATTTTATTGAATGGATTATACTTTGTTAATATTTTAAAAAATTTATTTTTCTTTTAGAATTGTTCTATTTTGATAATTTCAGACTTTATAGAAAAGTTACAAGAATAGCACAAAGAATTTTTGGATGCCATTCCCCAAATGTTAACATTTTACTGTCTTTGCTGTGTCCTTCATCCCTTCTCCTCCTCTCTTTCCAGATAAACACAAATGTAGGTATATAATACAGATTTTTTTTTCCTGAACCATTTCTAAGTTTCAGACATCATGCCTATTTACTCCTAAATACTTTAGTGTGTATTTCCTGAGAAAAAGGAATTAGCTAACATACCTGTAGTGTAATTATCAAAACCAGGAAATTAAGTATCAATATCTAATCTAAGGACCTTATTCACATTTTGCCAGTTGTGTCAATACAGTCATGTGCTGTGGAACGACGTTTCAGTCAACAGCCAACCATATATGTGACGGTGGTCCCATAAGATTAGTACCATATAGCCTAGGTGTGTAGTAGACTATACCTTCTAGGTTTGTGTAAGGACACTCTGATGTTTGCACAACAAAATCGCCTAGTGACAAATTTCTCAGAATGTATCCCCTTTAAGCAACCAATGACTAATATCGTTTATAGGCAAAGAAAATCCAAGATGCTGTGTTGTGTCCAATTGTCCTGTTTCTTTAATCTCCTTTAATCTGGGACAGTTCTTTAGTCTTCCTTTGATTTTCATGACATTTACATTTTGAAGAGCATAGGTCAGTTATTTTGTAGACTGTCTCTCAGGTTGGGTTTGTGTGACGTTTCCTCAGAAGTAGATTCAGGTTATGCCATTTGGGCAGGAGTGTCACGTAAGTGATGCTGAGTTCTTCCCAGTGCAGCAACTCGGGAGGCACAGGCTTGGTTCCATTACTGGTGATGTTGACTTTGATCATTTGGTTAAGAAGTGTCTGCCGGGTTTGTCCAAGGTAAAATTACTATTTACCCTTTGTATTTCATAAATATCCTGTGTGGAGATGCTGTGAGACTTTTAGAAATAGTTGGTTACTCCTCAAAATTTCACCCACTAGGTTTAGCGTCCATAGATGATTCTCGCTTGAATCAATTATTATGATTTTACCAATGATGATTTTCTTATTCTTTCATTCCTTCTACATTGATAAATAAAACAAAACAAATGGGAGAGAAGGGAAAGGTTATTATTTTGGTGCTTAAATTGCCCCAGATTTGGCCAGTGGTAGCCATTTCAGGCTGACTTCGGGTCTTTTTGCTCTGTCCCCATTATTCTTTGAGCACTTCCTTCTCTGATACAACAAGATGTTCCAAGCTCATTTTGTATTTTTTCTGCCCCAGCCCTGAAATCATCCATTTTTCGTATAAGCCCTGGTTCCTTTTAGGGGAGAGTGGTATTTAGAAACCAAGATCTGGGCTCTAGTTGTGGTAGGTGTGTATATTGCTATTGGGGTTGTCGTTGCTCCTAGGCTTCCTCAGTGAGCCGCAGGGAATTAGATTTGTATACATAAGTTCACATACGTATGTGCATATATTAATCTGTAGTTGTATCTCAAAATATATTGGAAACCATGAATTCTTACTGACACTTCCAATTCCAATCCAATCCCACATGGTTCATTCTAGTTTTTCCCTTTCAATTTTTGTTATTCTCTTTTCTGACATAACCTGGCCCCCATCATCAGTATCTTACTTGTTCAGTCCCCTTATGTGACCAGTCTCTTGTTGTCCCTGCCGCTACGCACATGTCCTCCTCACTCCCACTTGAATTCCAATACCCCACCTCAGGTTGTCTCCACTGCTTTTCCTCCCAAGTGTCTGCTCTCTTCACCCCATCCTTTCTCAGACACCCTGTCCCAGGCCACCTCTTCTACAGATAGTGTACCCCCTTCTGGCTTTGAAGACCCTTGCTGGGCTGTCCTGCATGGATGTGTGGATGCCTCCTGACCCTATTCAGTCTGGGATACCTCATCCTATGTTGTCCACCTATCAGGGGTGCTCTCGAGCTCCAGCACCGTGCAGGGTGGCCCTCCCTTGCTTATGCCTTCCTCATCCCATCCAGGCTCCAGCACCTCACTCTGGGCCACCACAGCACCCTGTTTTTGTACCCATGCTTTTGAACTGAAATATTTGAGAAGAGATATATCTTTCATAATCACCTAATCAAGCTCTGCAAAGCAAGGATTTTGATTGGAATTGCATTGAATCTATAGATAATTTGCAGAGAAAGACATTTATAATATTGAGTTTTCCAAGCTATTAATATTTTAATAGTCTAACTCTCAATGTTTAAAAAGTTTCCCATAGAGGCCTTACATATATTTTTTAGGTTTATTCCTAGTTACTTGATACTTTTGATCCTATTATAAATGTTACTTTAAAAAATCAATTTGATTTCCTGTTTGTTGCTAGCTTATAGAAATAAAATTTATATTTTGCATATTGAGCTTGGATTCAGCTATCTTGCTAAACTCTCTTATTATATTTTTTCTTATTTGAATATTTTATTCAAACATATACAGACATATAATCTTTAATAGTGACAGTTTTCTTCTTCCTTTCCAATTCCTAGAGTTTTCGTTTATTTTTATTTCCCACTGCAAGAATGTTGTGGAGTAAAAGTGAGGAGAGTGGGTATCCATGTCTTATTGAAATTGCAAAGGAGAAATAGAATCTCTCTATATCTATGTAGATAGTGGGTTTTTAAAAAGTAGATATCCTTTATTGGTGTATTAGTTTTTTATTGCTGTATAACAGATCACCACCAACTTTAGCATCTTAAAACCACACACATTTATTTCACGTTTTCATGGGTCAGGAGTCTGGGCATGGCCTAGCTGGGTAGTTTGCTCTGGGTCTCACAAGTCTGAAATCAAGGTGTCAGCTGGGCTGCATTTTCATTTGAAGGCTCAAGTAGGGAAGAATCTGCTTCCAAGCTCATTCAGTTGGTTGGCAGAATTTATTTCCTTGTCACTGTATGACTGTATTTATATTCCCAGCTATTTGCTGGCTCTCAGTTGGAGGCTGCCCTCAGGACCTAGCAGTTGCCTATGGTTCCTAGAGTCTGAGTCTTAGTCTGCTTGGGCTGCTATAACAAAATACTGTAGACTTATACACAGCAGAAATTTATTTCTCACAAAGAAGAAGTCCAAGATCAAAGCACTGGCAGATTCAGTGTCTCGTGAGGGCCTGCTTCCCAGTTTCTGGACACCAGTCTTCTGGACAGCCCTTCTGAGAGAGAAGGGGATCTCTCTCAGGCCTCTTGTATAAGGGCAGTAATCCCATTCATGAGAGCTCCACCCTCATGATCTAGTCACCTCCCAAAGGCCCCGCCTCCAGATACCATCACATTGGGCATTAGGATTCAACATCAATTTGGGGGGACACAAACATTCAGTCTATAGCAAGGCTGTTCACAGTTGTTGGCCACATGGGCTTCCTCAATGTGGCTGCTTACCTCATGAGGCCAGCCAGGAGAATCTCTCACTTCAGAGAGGGCTCAGTACTCTTTTAAGCATTTTCACCGAATTAAATCAGGCTCACTCAGAATTATTGCCCTTTTGATTAACTCAAAATTAACTGAGTTAATTACATCTGCAAAATTCCTTTATATTTGGCATATTCTAATGCCTGGAGGCAAGTCACAGATTCTGCCCACACTCAAGGGAAAGGGATTATAAAGGGTGAGGACACCAAAGGGCAGATATTATGGGGTCACCCTAGGGTCTGTCTGCTGAAATTATGTTAAGAAAGTTCCATTGTAATGCTAATTTTCTGAGTTTTATCATGAATGGATGTT